TTTTTTGTTGTTTTTGTGTGTGTGTGTTTTTATTTGAATTGTGATAATGAGGAGTCCTATGACCACTTAAGGTCATAGGGTCACTGCATGCACTGTAGTAGCAGTGGTATGTCTTGGGAAATATAGCATAATAGAGCCTAACCCTATCTAGGCTGTTTGAATTAAGAGTTTTCCTTCTCCTAGACTAGTCGCCAGCAAAGACTATAGGACCCCGTCTGTCATGCTATTTACTCATAGCTGGGGGGAAAAAGAAATAGATTTGTACCTTTTCCCAAGTGTATTAGCACCTAAGTGAATGTAATGAACTCAACAAGAATTCAAACGTGGCTCTCTGATTCCTCAATCCAAGTCAGTATCATTTACTCTGTTATTGCCTCCATTGTGTTAACACTGAAATATGCCTTGTAACAGAAATATTTACTGTTTTCTTATACGGAAACATTTGGTATTCATTAACTGACCAGCCAATTGAAATTTCAAAAATCTTAAAACAATTTTTCAAGAAAATAGGTTTCTCATATCCAGTAGCTGTTATCCTTCTTTCTCATATTTATGGGGTGGGGGCTTCCTTCCAAAACCTTTATTATGGAACATCAACATTTTGATTATGTCATTACTTTCTCTTTAAGTTACATGGAATAACCATTTTTCAGCATCCCCCTCATATCCACATGTAAGTTATTTCAACATCAGAAGAGATATTATGCATACTTTATTTTGCTTCTCGTTTTAAGTTTTGATAATTTGTCTTCAAATTTCAAATTTTTTTTGTTTTGCAAACTAAAAGACAACATATTTTTATGAAATTTTATTTATTACACCACCCATAAACAAGTTATATTTTCAATTTTTTTTGTTTTTTCCGATTATTTAAAAAATGTATAAATAAAGAGATTATCAGGTAATCCAGGGTCAATGCCAGATTTTAAATCCCAAAAGCACACATTAAAGCCACAAGGATTAACCTAATCTAAAGCACTTTTAATGTTGGACTTGCTTCTCTAGCATTTTCTAAGTTTTATTACGTAGCATTTATCATTATTCTTCATTTCATATAAAAAGAAATAAGGAAATTAATATTTGTATTATATAATACAATAATAGTTCAGACTTTATAATCATTTCATAAAAATGATTAAATTCAGTTTTATCATTAACATATTCACTGTCTGGTGCTTCATGGTACATACAGCATCTTGATGAGATTTTTGTAATTGTTCCATGAGGTGGTGGCGATTAGCCCAACACCCAACCTTTTTAATCCAAGGAAGTTTTGATTTTTTTTTTTATTAGGCTTTTCCTTCCTTTATATGACTACACTAATGAGTTCCATCTACCAGAATTTGGGGATTCAGTTTTCTTTCTCTTATATTGGTTACCAACCAAGGCCAAATAGCCCCATCGCCCGTACTGATTAACCCATAGCTGAAGGGAGAAGAGATGGGTTCATACCTTTCTGAAGGGTATTTACAAGGATTTTTTATTTATTAATCCGACAGATTTTATTACTTGAACATTATTTTCAGTGGATACTCATATTCTGTTTATTTATTAAACAGTATATTTATTTTCATCTACCAGCTTTGATATTTGAGAAATCTTATTAAAGAAAAATATGTGCTCTCTGGCAGGATTCAAACCTACACACTTTTGGCGAGAGAAACCATCATTAGATCAGACATGCTTTAGACAGAGTGTATCATCTATCCAAAAAAGTTGAATAGTACCTTATAAAAGTATATCAGATCTAACAACAGTTTCTCCTGCCAAGGGATTTTAATCTTGCTGGAAAGTGCATATTTTTCTTTAATAAGATTTCTTGATTATTCAAGCCAATAGACAAAATTAAATATACTGTTTAATAAATAAATGGCATCTACTCAAATATATGGGTATCCACTAAAAAATAACATTTAAAGTGATAAAATCAAAGTAGGTGTAACAAACTATCCTAGAATTCAAACTTGATTCACCAATTTCTTGTTCCAAGCAACTGACCATTACACCAGCTACATGTTCTTATCATTCACATAAACACCTGAAATTAAGCAAAATTATTCATTCAGAGTTAGAGGAATTTTAATTTAAATGACATTATTAAGGTTTGTCACTCTTGTATTTCATCAGAGAATTAGTTTACAAATAAGAAATTTTTATTTCCCACCATCCTTTTGTTTTGTTTTTTCAGTTACTTTTTATCTGATCTGATCTGGGTGATGGTCATTAGGGGAAAAATGTCATTTTGTATTACTATTTCCCTGTGTATATACTGATATATTTATATTAAGTCTTAGTATATTTGCATATAAATAAGGTGAACTGTATCAAGGAAGTGCAAGATGACAAGGTTTGTCAAATCCAGCTTCCTTAAGCTTCCAACTTGGTTACATTATTGCCAATGAAAGACAAGCTCACAGGATATGTGGTTCAAGTTCAAGGCTTCTTTATTCCTACTTCAGGCTACTTCAATAATTTTATTTATCCTACAAAGTTATGGCAAATAGCAAAAAAAAGGATAAAACTCATCAAAAATTAGTGCTGAATGTCAGAATTCAAGTAATGTGTCAAAATGAATCATTTTAGAGACCAAAATCTAATTGTTTTATTAATTCTAATTCAAGACCAGTAATATTAGAAGAAACAGATTAAATAGAATAAAGGCAATATCGATAATGAAATAAAATTTTTCAAGTAAATTAATTTAAAACATGTTGACATAAACAGACTTATTATTTAATTACTAACTTTGATCTTTTATCACAAAAATCCAGATTAATAAACTCTTCAACCACTTAAATACAATTTAAAACACACACACACAAATGTAAATAGCTTTTGACAAGACTTTAATTTCTATTCTGCACATTGATGTTTGTCTTTTGCAGATATCCTCAAAAACCATTTCATTTACCAAAGTCTTTGATAAATGCAACAAAAATCTGTAGTCATTCTTCCACCCAATACTTTCTGATTTTTCTATACCATCTTTGGAATAAGCATTTTTAATTATATATAAAGAGAAAATGGAAACTTTACTTACCCTGGACATTTCACCATCTAAAGGCAAATGTAAGGATTTTATTTTGACAAGTATTTATATACAAGAGCAAAAATGTTATTGCTTTTTTCCAAAATTTTTATTTATATATATATATATATATATATATATAATATATATATATATATATATATATATATATATATATATATATATATATATATATGCATCTTCAATATTATTAAAACCATATATAATAATAGACAGGGTAACATTTTCTCTCCATCTCTTTATCTGTCATACTAAAGACAATAAATATATAAAATTAACAAGTGGACCTTGTTCTGATTTGAATTTGAAGGTAAACCGGCAATTGGCCTATCCACTATGGCAGCATTCTGCTGCTTAAACAACACAGAAATGTTAGCCTTAGTATTTACAAGTTAAATGCACTTAATGTAGAAGCTGAGGAATGCTTCTTAGCAAGAATGCACATATACTCTGATCTAAGGCAATCTATATTTTAATAATTCCAATATCATTTTTGACAGGTACTATGCAAATGTAATAATAAAAAAATTAACAATAATAAGATGGAGTAAAACTAATACTAAAATAATAATAATAACACTTAATTTAAAAATTTTTTAAAAAAATGACCTTGTCCAATTTATATAATTTAGCAATAGTACTGGAAATCTCTGAAGCACTAAAAATATACATTCCATAGTTATTCATAATTTCAACTTGAAATCGCCTTATGTATCCACAAATTTACTATTACAGATACATTCACAATGTCTTAACGATCTTTCTTTTTAATGTTACAGAAATAGTTTCGTAAAGGAAATATGATTCATATTCACATGCACCAGAGCTAAAACTGAACCTAGTTTTTAACATGTAATCTACTTGTTTTTTTTCCTCTTTTCTTTGTCATCTACATGTGTCCAAGTTACATATTTATTTATGAAATTAAATTACAGTCTGGTGCGGGTGTCAGCAGTCAAAAGCCAGAGACATAAATGCACTTGTTACACAACTAATCAACAGGGTTCAACTCTTGCAGCGAAACTTCTATGCACTCTGGTCCAAACAAACGCTTCATGCTCTATGAGGTTGCTCCTTATCTGACTGTGCAATCCACTATTTATTATTATTTCCAATCATACATGCAAATGACCAATAGTATTAAAAAGAGTAGCATCATGCATGCATAGTGGGACGATTGCACAGTCAATCCTTGTGACCATGTGTGATATCGTCACTCCCTTGCAACCTTGAACATGTTGGATTTACACACCAAATAGGTAACGTGCCTGCTTCACCCAGTGAGGTAAGTGTATTCTCTCACTGCAATTTATTAGTTCAAAAGGATTATTAATATTCCTATGAGTTAAAACTGAAACTGGCTTACAGCTACATCATGTTGAAATACCGGTTCCCGTACAGTCACTAATAGTTAAGCAATGTTGAATCTGGTCACTACCTAGATGGGTGATCATTTGGGAATAGAAGGTGCCATAAACTTGGATGTGTAGGTGGTGTACTGGATAATGATCTGGAATTGTTAATCATAGAACCAACTTCCAATTCCTGTTGGTTTCATTATATTTACTTAGACACAAATACACTTGGAAAAGGTATGAATCCACCTCTTCTCCCTTCAGCTATGCGTTAATTAATAAGACTTTATCATCTATAAAAAAAAAAGAAAAAAACAGAAATTCTTACAATCTAAAAATATTTTCTGGCTTTATATAACTTGCAAAGGATTGATAAGCCATAGAAAACCAATCAATCAATCAATCAAATTAAAATTGAACCTAGTTTTTTAAAAGTAATCTACTTGATTTCTTTTCTTTTCGTTGTCATCTACATTTGTCCAAGCCACGTATTTATTTGTCAGTTCAAAAGGAATTATTTTGTCTATGTGTATGATATATACGCCATGTAAATCTTACACTTGTTTTTTTTTTTTTTTTTTGTCTCTGTATCTCAGGAAATGGAGCTGTGTGTACGTGACTTGTTATTTGTGCTTGGTCTCCTCACCCTACTGGTGCATTGTGTCAAATGCAATCAGTATGATGCTCATTTAGAAGACAATGAATTTGCTGAGTTTGAAGAATTTGATGAAGGTAAGTTTCTTCAAATTTTCAACTGTAGAGATGAGTTTTTGTATATATTTTTTTTTTTTTCCTTACACAATTGACATCTGTCCATCTATCAAATACATGTCCCTCCTCCCGCATACACACCCTACGCTGTTCATATTTTCCACTGAGACCAAATACATGTCCCTCCTCCCGCATACACACCCTACGCTGTTCATATTTTCCACTGAGACCAAATACATGTCCCTCCTCCCGCATACACACCCTACGCTGTTCATATTTTCCACTGAGACCAAATACATGTCCCTCCTCCCGCATACACACCCTACGCTGTTCATATTTTCCACTGAGACCAAATACATGTCCCTCCTCCCGCATACACACCCTACGCTGTTCATATTTTCCACTGAGACCAAATACATGTCCCCTCCCCATACACACACTACGCTGTTCGCCCCCTGCCCCCCTGCAGAGGGTAAAGTCCCTCAATGGGGCCACCTGTTGGCCCACCCGTAATGTCTGGGGCGGGATCCTGGTGGTTGAGCAGGTTGTAACCCAGGTGTTCTTGTAACACACCACTTTGGCCCTTACCTGGGCTAGACCAAATCGGAGGGGCCCGATCCGTCAATCGGCTGGTCATGTCAAGCCCCATCATATATAATCCAACCCAAACCTATAACTGACACCTCTTCCCAACCAAAACTAACACTTAACCCTAAATATGTGATGGAAGGAAGGTGGCTGAGGGTCAATCAATTTGGGGAAAAAAAGTCTGACACACTTGCTAAACCTTCACAGCCGTAATACTTGGAAAAAACGAAACAAAGGAACATGCGTTATCAAAGACTCCTCCCAAAAAGTATATCATTCACGTAGCCCCCCGACATGGCAAGGCGAATGGGTTTCCCCCCTTGATCTGTCCCAATCTGGACTCCGTGGTGGGTAGGGAGCGAGAATGATGAACAAAAATAAAAACAATCAATGGAAAAAAGAAATCTTCCAAGAGACCACATGTAGATAACGACTCAGAAATTGAAAGTGAGAACTTCCCACGGTTTATTGTACAAAAATCATTATCAGAAATTTCTCCGTTTAAAATACAAAAAGCAATAACAAATATCATAATACCAAAAAAGGTTAAAAATTACAAAATGGAACAATACTAATAGAAGTAGAAAAAAAAAAATATGCGGACACATTGATCAGACAAAAAAACTACAAGAGATAGAAATAAAAACCTACCCACACCAAACCTAAATTACTCAAAGGGAGTAGTAAAAAGTAAGGAGCTCTCCTTGTGCACTCTAGAGGAAATAAAAAGAACTCCAAACTCAAGGAGTTACAAATGTTAAAAGAATAACAATTAAAAAAAAATGCTGAGATACAAACTAATACCTACATTATAACGTTCAACTCCCCAAATTCCAACTTCAATAAAAATTGATATGAAAGTATAAAAGTAGAACAATATGTACCAAACCCTCTACAATGCTATAAATGCCTGTAATTTGGGCATCACAGAGATTCCTGTAAAAAAAAAAATATGTGGGAAATGTAGTGAGAAGGAACCAGAACACAAAGAAGAGAACTGCCCAAATGAGAGCCTATGCTCAAACTGTTTGTTTCTCAAAACAATGCAATATATATAAACAGGAGAAAGAAATAATTAGAATAAAATACAAAAAAATATATCTTACATAGAATTAAATAATATAAAAAGAAAACACATATATTCCATGGCACAAAAGCAAATAAAATAAACAATGAAGATAAAATAAAAGGTTCAATTGAAATAACAAATCTATGTAAGGAATTAAAAGCTTTCCTTGAAGAATTAAAAACCTTTTTTAAACTTAAATCGGATCAAAATAAAACTCAACAACCCAGATCAAATGGAATAAACCCAGAAGGAGGTAAAAACTTTGGAAAGAAAACACAGAACAAAACTCCAGCGAACCCTCTTCTTTCCAAACCCAAACTAAGAAAATGAAAAAATAAACAAAAAGAAAAAAAAGACAACAGAGCAAGAAAGCACTTGATCAAGATCTAACTCAAAATCGAGAATCAGTATATCAAATGAAAATAAATTTGAACCTATGGAATATATAGAAATAGAAGAGAAAGATAATAAACAAAATTCAAAAACAAATCAAAAATCTGATCAAGGACACCAAAGCAGTTGAAGACAAAGCTTCTAAAAACTCAAGAGATGGAAAAAAAATTGAGAGGACAAATGATACCAACCTAGTAGGTAACTTTACTCCCAAAAAATGAAAATATAATCATGGCACATAAGATCCTGCAATGGAACTGTCGTGGAATAAAATCAAATTACAATGACCTACTCATACTTATGTCACTACTGTATCCAGCCGTCATCTGCTTACAGGAAACTTTTTTTTTTTACAAGAAAATACCAACTTAAAATTAAAAATTATAAACAATACCACTATAATCACAATACAGGACATAGAGCTAATGGAGGAGTCAATATTGATCAGAAATGACATACTGCAAAGTAAAGTACACAAAAACTAAATTACAAACAATAGCAACACAAGTGACACTAGATAAAACCATCACAATTCTTTCCATTTATATACCCCCACAGGAACCAATAAACACAACAGAAATAAACAACTTGATGGAGCAACTTCCCAAACCCAGAATCTTACTAGGAGACTTTAACAGTCATAATCCTATATGGAATAGCAAAAGCTAGATACTAAAGGTAAAATATTAGAAGAAATAATTAACACCCATAACTTATGTCTATTAAATCATAAATCCTCAATCTACCTTAATCCCTCCAATGGAACAGAATCATCAATAGACTTAAGTATAAGCGATCCAAAAATTTGTATGGATTATATATGGAAAACACATAGTGACACATGTGGTAGTGATCATTACCCGATCATACTAGAAAATCAAAAGCCTGCCAAGGAAGAAAAGATAGGCCCCGTCAGATGGAAACTGAAAAAGAGCCAACTGGGAGGGTTTCAAAAACAAATGTAAACAAAAACTGATACAGTCAAAGGACACAGACAACTCGGTAGAATACTTTACCAAAACATTAATAACCATTGCCTCAGAAAATATACCAAAATAGCAAAATAATTATAAAAAAAACTAAACCCTGGTTTGACAAAACTGCCAAAAGCAGTCAGAAACCAGGAAGCAACATTGCTAAAATTCAAGAAGGAACCCACAAACCCAAAATTTGATTGAAATGAAGAAACTCAAAGCAGTTTCTATAAAAACAGCCTAAATACACATTCTAAAACCAAGACAATATGGGAAATGATGAGGAAAATAGCTGGAAAAGATCAAATACACCCAATAATACATCTTAAAAAGGACAACACTAAAGCAACTAGCAAAAGAGAGATAGCAAACCTACTAGCAGAGACATTTGCAGAAAACTCTAAAATGAGCAAAAATCAAAACCTACAAAAGTGTAAACAAAAAGATATAAATAACCAACTAAATTTTTCATCTAAAAATACAGAAGCCTACAACAACCTATTCACTGAAGCGAACTAATAGAAGCCATAAAAAATCCCATAATACAGCAGTAGGCCCAGACCAAATCCACTATGAATTTATTAAACAACTACCACAAGAATCGCTGAAATACCTTTTGAATATTTTTTAACAATATTTGGACTACTGGGAAATTTCCCAAAATATGGAGAGAATCTGTAATTATTCCCATACTCAAAGAAGGAAAAGAGGAAACAACCCACAAAGTTAATCGACCAATAGCATTAACAAGCTGTCTATGTAAGACAATGGAGCTAATGGTCAACGCCAGATTGAGTTGGTTTCTAGAAGAAGGAAAACACATATCAGAATATCAATGTGGATATAATAAAGGAAGAAGTACAATAGATCACATAATAAGACTAGAAACAGCCATAAGAGAGGCCAATTTAAACAAACAACATCTAATAGCCATATTTTTGATATAGAAAAGCATTTGATCAAACCTGGAAACATGGTATAATGAAAGATCTGCATAAATTAGGATTAAGAGGTCGACTACCAAACTTCGAAAAAAGGATTTTAACAGATAGACTCTTCCAAGTACAAATAGATACTACACGTTCTGATTATCAAAAGCAAGAAGAGGGAGTACCACAGGGAAGTGTACTCTCCCCTACACTTTTCAAAATAAAAAATAAATGACATAATAAAAAACATCAAATCAGAATACACTGTAGCCTTTATGTTGATGATTTTACAATATATTACAGATCAAGAAACCTCAACACAGCAGAAAGACAACTTCAACAATGTTTACATCAAATAAAACAAATGGACACTCGAAAACGGTTTTAAAATATCAAAAACGAAGACAAAATCTGTACACTTCTGCCAAATGAAAAATTACACAATAACCCAACTCTAAAACTAGGAAATGAAGAAATACCAGTAGTTCAGCAATATAAATTTCTAAATGATCTTTGACAGCAAACTGACCTTCAGACCACATATCAATTACCTAAGAACAAAATGTTTTAAAGCTCTCCAACTATCTGCAGACAGTAGCCCATACAGAATGGGGAGCTTTCTTAAGCTTTATAGAACGTTGATCCGCTCCAAACTGACTATGGCAGCATGGTCTAAATCAACTAGAAAATCTTATCTAAAAACAATAAACACAATACATCATGAAGGCCTCTAGCTCTAGGAGCCTATCCCACCACCTATAGAGAGTCTACATGTAGAGGCAAACAAACCCCCATTACAACTAAGAATGGAGAAACTAGCTACTCAATACTATCTAAAACTCTCTTCCTGTCCTTCTAACCCCACACACGATTGTGTAATTAACCAAATCACAAAGAGAAATTTAATCTTAACACAAATAAAATCAAAACATTGGGACTCGGATGGAAGGAATCATCCAAGAAAATAATTTACCGTCTAATCAAATACTTAAAAACCAAAAAACAAACATACCACCATGGATAATCAAAAATCAAACATAATATTAAGTTTAAACAAATTATCAAAATCAAAAACACACCCCACAACATACATTGAAAAATTCTCAAAAATAAAAGAAAAATATCAAAACTATGAAAGTATTTACACAGATGGATCAAAAGACGAAGAAAAAAACAGGCAGCGCAAACAACAAAAGAAACAATTATCAAAAACGCTTGCAAAATGAAGCATCAATTTTCAGTGCAGAAGCCTACGCAATAAAACTAGCACTAAATTTCATATCAAAAACAAAGGAGAAAAACTATATTATTTTCTCAGATTCATTATCGGTATTAACCTCCTAAAAAGGAAAAAGACTGGAAAATCCATTAATACAAAAGATATAAACTACATTCAATGGAAAAAGCAAAAAAATATCATCTTCTGCTGGATTCCTAGCCATGTTGGCATCCAAGGAGGAGATAAGGCAGATAATGCTGCTAAATCATCTTTAAAATGACAATTGACGAAAATCTTCAAATTCCATATACAGACTTAAAATCTAAAAATATATAAATACTAAGAAACAAATGGCAAAAATCTATGGAAAAACCAAACCGAAATAAATTATTTCAAATTAAACCTAAAGTAGGAAAATGGGGAAATGATCTTGGAAATACTGGAAAAAACAAGTTGTCATAACCAGAACACATATAGGACACACATATTTAACTCATTCTCACATATTAAAAAAGACAAATCCACCAAAATGTAAATGTGGAAGCCTAATCACAATAAGACATATTCTATCAGAATGCAAAATCATAACTAGGATAAGACAGAAATATCTCAATGGAAAAGATTTAAAAGAAATATTCAAAATACAGACACAGAAAAATATACAGTTTTCTCAAGGAAATAAAATCCTCAATAAAATATAAATAGTGTATATATATATATATGCTTATAGACATATATATGCATCTATGAATGTAAACAGTAAAATACACAATCAGAAACGGTCACAAAAAGCAATCCCAAAAAATACAGAAAATTATGAAACCCAACAACCTTTCATCTTTTTATACAAAATAACCAACTTAAATTCATAAATTAATAAGGCTTCGGCATAAATTGACCCAAATAGGAGTTGACATGCCGTTAAATCCAACATCCATCCATCCTACGCTGTTCATATTTTCCACTGAGACCAAATTCAAAATATACTGGGGATTGGGGAAATTGCTGAGCAAAGAAGAAAAAAAAAAAAGCATAGTGTAAAGATTAGCTTACTACTGACCTGTAGGTTTCCTTAGCTAGTTATTAATAACTAATAGTCATTGTTTAAACCTTGTTACATTCTAGAATCTACAGTACAGCCACTACTCACTTAATAACTTACCTCTTTAACACTCTACTCCCATCATATTTATAAAATCTCATAAGATAAAAAAAAATTATCCAACTGGCTGGTAGTGTACATCATCTTTGTTTTCTCTTTTTTTAAAAATGAATCAAAATAAATTAAATGAGTAAATAAAGTGAAAAATAAATAAGTAATGTATACAATATAGAACTGCTGAGTTTCATTTTTTTTTATTATTACATTTACTATTCAGTACTCTTATATACTGCATAAAAATTTAGAAACAAGTGAGAAATGTGACACATGCTGCAAAAATATCATTAAAGCTATCTGAAGCTGACTGACACAAACATATTGCAAGTGTAATATGTCTGAAATAGCTGTCAGTTAAAACTTCTCACTTAGCATCCAGTGGAAATATGCAACTGTTTTAGCTACAAGGCAAACCTCTTTTAGTTATAGTCTTGATTAGGTTGTTCTCTGTCATTGTTTGATGCATTTTGATTTCTGTAAATGAAATCAAAATATGATAAATAAATTTTTATTCTTTTCCAGATCAGCCTTTCATTTTTATTGCTTCCTGAATCTGAATCTCTCTTTGGTAAGAGATTCCAATGACATTGCCAATATCAAATTCCATAAATAAGTTTTAGATTGTATATACCAAAAACCAAGGCTAACTTCTTTTTTTTTTTTTTTTTAAACTGACTGCTAAATATAGAGTGAGCTCTGCTGAGACAGTAATCACTGTCTTGTGGCCTACTTTAAAATTAATAAAAGAACAGAAATAAAAAAAAAAAAAAAAACTGACATAAAATTCACTCTATACAAAAAAGACAATTCTTAGGTTACATGTCCTGCTTTAAGTATGTTTAATGCACAGCCAACTGGGATAATTGTCTTGATAACTTCCCCAACTCTATAAGGTTTCTTTTAATAAAATATACAGCAATTTTTATGCTTTTCTTCTTTCCTTTCAATAGAAGATCAACTTGACACTGATTCCGCCAAGACCAACCATCATCATTTTCGTGATCAGCAGCAGCAATCACAGCAATTGCAACAGCAGCAGCAGCAACAACAACAACAATCCCAGGTCTCAACGCTGGATCCCTGATGCAGCTGATGATGATGATGATGCCACAGTTGAGGTTAGATTTCTATTTTTCAACAACAATTCAAAAGATTTGTAAGTTTTAGGCATGCTCCAAAGGTCTCTCTCTCTCTCTCTCTCCTCTGCCCTACCCTCTTTTTTGCTATATATAAACAATTTGTCTAAGAACATTCTCAAATCATTAGTATAGATATATGTAGACGATAGCACAATTTATGGGAGAACCACTCAAAATCTAAATGACCAGAACCTGGCATCTGACCTCTATTCTGACCTTGCTTACAAAGCTCAATGGGAGAGGAACTAGCTTTGGAATATTCAATAACTCCAAAGCAAAGTTAGTCATGTTTCATCATCACAGAGCAGACCCAGTCATGAATGGTTGTACTCTCAATGACGCTCCTTGACTGGCACATCTATTGGGACTCAAGCTCACACCAGACATCAAGTGGAACTGATGTTATCCATTTTACTAAAGATGCTTGAAAAATGGTCTGCTCTAGAGAGTATTTGACTCCTCCTGACAGGTTTTATCTCTACAAGAGTCAGATCGGATCAAAAATGGTATATTGCTGCCACGTCTGGGCCAGAGCTGCCCAATCCTCACTTTCTGGCCTCGATCGAGTTCAAAAGCATTTGCCCAGCCTTGTGAGTGATGAATTGTTTTCCACTGATGGAATGTAGCTAGCCTCTTGCTCATCTAGACCTTCACATCTAGGACCCACAATAACATATACACAGAGTTAAAACATCCTTGTTCCCATCATATTGCATTGGTGAGGAGGAAGTTCCACTCAGCTTCTTCCCTGGAACTGTTGCAATGTGGAAGGGACTCAAGTGAATACTTCCCTAATCACTACAATCTTAACCTCTTAAGATCAACTATTATCTATCCTACATATCCTCGTAATGTAACAATATGGGTCGAGCGGAGGTCTTGTCAAATTTAAAAATGGTGGGACTTGTTGCACAACTCGATATGGAACATTTACTTTTGACCAATGGCTATTAGTAATTGGAGTGAACTTCAGATTACAAGAGCAAGGTGCTCATACTGAGAGAAAGTGAAAGAAGGAAGATTAATTACTTTTTAAACGAAGATGACAAGACGAAGAAAACTGTTGTCTATAAAAATGACCATCTCGTGCAAAGGAAAACAGAAGGATCGACATGGGCTATGCAGAAAGACATAGATGATAGCCACTGAACTGCACCCCAAATCACTCCCCCCATCACTTACGACTCAACCTGCCTTCACTTGCTTATAATAGTAAAGTGCTACCTAAGAATAAAATCTGGTTTACTACTAGAAATTGTTTTGTTTTTCACTTATGGGTAACAATCTGGGCAAAGGGTGATTTTTAAGCCACAAGTGTTTGACTGAAAGAAACTGCACCCTGTCAACAAACCTGGTGTTTGGTCTGAGCGGCAACACAACAGGGCTGAAATATTTGCACTATGACCAATATCATTCGTCCATTTGATGACCGCAGCTGTGAGAAAGCAATTGAGGAAAAGAAAAATCCCTTAGTACTGATTTGATTTCTTGTAGTTTTTCTCTCTTCTTTCCATCGTGGACCCCCAGATGTTTGCAAATGCACTCTCTCATGTCAATGAATGAAATTCGGATGTTAGGTCTGGGACTCAGAAATGATCCATTACCAGTCATCTTTCTTTCTCAAATATCACAAGGTTCAATGGACAGAAGAAAATGTATCAAGTGTTGAGGAGAAAAATATTTTTTGGCTGCCAAAATACTGGAAGGAAGGCAGCAGACTTGGTGGGAAATTTCCTTGAAACAAACTCAGGTGAAAATTGGGGTAAGTTGAGGGCACTGATAGACCGATGCTACACAGAAACCATAGATCCTACAGAAGTATCACAGTCTATTTGAAAGTGGGGTATAGAAGAATACAAATTTAAGGTAATCTCCCTATTTTAACAAGACATTTATGATTGGACTTATTGATCACTATAGACAGAGGATTAATATCCAGATGGTAAATATAGATCAGAGTAAAAGGCAGACTATAAGGGATTGTTGGACCAGTCGAGCACCACTGCAAAAAGATAGACATAGGAAAAATAATCTGCCTAGTTGAATAGCTTTTGACTGTCCACCTAGACAAATCATTTCGGAACATGCACCAATCACTTGTTGGAGATGTAGTCATAAAGAGCACTTGCAGAGACACTGCAAGGTTCAAGGAAATTATATACAATCCATCTTTAAAAAGTTCACAGAGCAGACAGGAGGATTGCCAATGCTAAAATAAATGCTATAGAAAATCTATGCACAGGTGGGTGTTTGACTATAAAGAATAAGCCTGCTCTTGAAGATAGACAAACTTACAAACAGCTAACAGGACATAATTGGATGTCAGCGGGTATGCAACTTTAAATTTTTGAGTAAGTCAACTAACAGCAAAATACAGATTCTATGTGATCAAAATTTAAACAGAAATATTATTCTAGGTTGTGATTGGCTGCCAGAAAATGGCACACATATTTACTACAATTTAGAAGCTTTATGCATCAATGATACATATTTGTCTTTAGAAGAGGATTTCTTTATAGCAAATATAACACACATAACATTCAACACCACATCAAAGCTTCAGACAGATACTTTGTTTTGTTAGAATTAGGAATAAGTTAGACAGAACAACTATGTTAAATTTAACAGATAGTTTTGAGGTAGCTAAGTAATTTGCCAGGTATTTCAGTGACAAATGCATTAGTAAGGATGAATATGCATAGGAAAATACCAATAGTTGTTATTAATAATACAAATCAAACCGTTAGGCTTTGACATGGATGTGTAGTGGGTAGAGTTTCTCCTGCTGTCAACGTAAATACTGTGTCCAGTGGTGGTAGTAATAATAGAGATATCAGTAATGTCATAGTACCCAGTGAATTTAGGGCTCCCATCCAAAAATTATTAGAAGATATTTATTTGTGGCTACTGTTAAGGATCTCGGTAGAACTGATACAGTAAAAATGAGAATCTATAATGGTAACCAATTAAGAAGAACCCATATCATACCCTTTTGAAGAACTGAGGTCAAATAGATATGGCCATCGATGAAATGTTGAATGCTAAGGTGATAGAAAAATCATGAGTCCTAAATAAAACCAACCAAGCCAGTCTATATAAAAATACTTGCTCTGATTTCATATTGTTTGTCTCTGACTATAAAGTCTTATCGTATATCCAATTGATAGAGTTCAAAATCTTATATTGCCTAATCTGTTATGTCTGATAACAAATATAGCAACAGAAGATCAGTATGAATTAATGGTGTTTTTCTTGTCTAATTACTTCTTTCACTCTTGGCTTCTCAACCAAAAGACATTAATTCAATCTATAGTAGCATGCCCTTATCTACTAGGGATATATTCAAAGTCCCTCAGCAGATACATGAAAATGTTTATAGTACTAAACCGTATATATGCTCGGTTTTTCTTATACATCAGTCACTTATGTGCCATGCGTGATACACACTTAGGCTTTCAACACATGATGGACAAAGCAGATTTTTTCCCTCAGTAGGTTGCCATTTCTTTCTGTGGTAGACCAGTTGCCATCCAAGGCTATAGAACCCAGTCTGTCCTGCAATTTACCCATAGCTGGGAAAGAGGAGGAAGATTTATGCCTTTCCCAAGGGTATTAGCGCATAAGTGAATGTAATGATGGACTCGACAAGAATTTGAACTCAGCTCTCAGATTCCTCAATCGAGCCACTATCCATTACTCCACCATGCCTTCCTATACATAGATACCTAAAATAAATTCCAATTTATAAGTTAATCCCAATATTAGATAAGCAACAGTAATAAAAGAGACACAATTATGACAATATACTGTATTAAGTTATATGATGGATAGAATATTTGTTCTTACTGTAAGTCTCATTAGCCAGAAAGAATTAATAACAATAAGTAATAATAAAATAAAACAATTATAACAATATACAGTAATAAATATTTTTTTCTTAACATTGATCTTAGCAACTTCAGCATCTAAATATTTTTTTTTGTTAAAAATCTTACCTTTTCACTTAATAGAAACCACTTACAGCTTCTCTTTAGCCAAACTGATGGCTTCACTACTCACATTAGGGACATTAAGCAAAACTTATTGTTTATTTCTGTGGTTAATTGCTGATTGAGAAGTGGAGGGACAACCGTATGCATTAGTCTTCTGTTTTTTTTTTTGCGGGGGGGGTGCACTAACATTAACCAAAGGCAGCAGCTGACATTGTTTTCATTCTTTAGTTGTTATTGCAAGTACCTTGAAGAATTACATTAGTTAAGTTCTTTATCTTTTTTTTCAGACTGAAGATGATGAAAATTATTATTTACGAGATGGTGAAGAATTTGAAGGCTTTGAAGATAAAGATAAAAATTTTGGCAAAGGCAAATCTCAAGAGCCTGCTCCTGGCCTCACCATTTCTAATGTAAGTAGATTCTTAATGCTCTTGATTTAAAAAAAAAAAAAAAAAAATTTTTCAGCAAATCTTTTTCATTACTAAAAATCAAAACCTATTTGCAACAGCACTCTTCACTTAAATAAATTGTCTGGTTCTTGTGAAAATTTTCCTAAAAATTTACATCTATTTTTAGAAAAACATTAGGTTAGTCAAAAAGTTTGTTCAGTTAGTAGAAAATTTACTTAATAAACCAATTAAACTTTTAGATCAACCCAATATATTCCATTTTATGTTCAGACAATTGAACTTTCTTCTGTTGTCAATGTGATTACCATGATGTTTCAAAAAATCCTTTTTGCAGCCTTCTACAGTTGTATGTCAAAGAGACCCACATGTTTTCATCTTCATTACAATTCCTTAATATTTAAGTGCACATGTTTTCTATCGTTTATATTGCATATCAGGTTAAGTAATCTTTTTTTTTTTTCTTTCTGTTTTTCTCTCAATCCTTGTCAGAATTATTACTTGTTACAATATTTCTTCTTTTTTTTTTTTTCTCCCTCTCCCCATTACCAAACCAATTATTACATTCAATGGGTTGTACTTATTTAATCATGTTCACTAACATACATACAAAACAGTTCCATATAAATTCATGTCCACAATGATATTCTTAGAAAGGAAAGTTATGCTCTTAAACAATTAATATCCAGAATCCCATTTTTGGAATGGTGAAGAATTTGAAGGCTTTGAACGGTGGTCATTAATGGTTTATAGCTAGAAACCTATAATTAATACCAGAATTTACAATGATCATTAAGAAATTAAGAAAACAATATTAATGCTGTAAAAACTCCGACTACTGTGTGAACCCTAAAATATAAATTACCAAACCCCATACAACATCACAAGACCCAAACGGTTCCACTTTAGTAGGATTAATGAATTCCTACAAAATCTGTTACTCAAAATGGTTAACAAGGGCTTCAATACAAGTTTCTCCTGCTATTTGAACAAAATAAAGCATTCTTATGAAATCCTCTTATAAATCCAAATAGTTTAACATTTAATACATATAGGAAAAAATATTTAAGCATTCCTGTCCTCCTCCTCTAGCATCAGATTTTCAATATGATTGGCAGTCCTTCACTGATTGCAGAAATATGTTTTTATATTTTGAAAGGTATTCATAGATTTAGGACAGGTTTTCAAAATGTTTTTTAGTACCTACTGTATGATAGAAAGATACACAAGGCTAAGTAGTCAAGCTCTTTGTATTTCATGCCTTCCTCAGCTGGCAACAAACCTCAACATTGAAGTAGACATACCTAGAATATAATTTTGAGGGTGGGAGTCCAGGAATGTTCAAAAATGTTCGCCATATAAATTAATAGTAATTGCTTCTTCACTCTACACCATTTCAGACAGCAGAAGAAACTGCTACAATGTGGGTCCTTTATAAAAATTTAAATTGTATAAAGTGAACTTTCATAAAATAGAGGAATATCTGTGATTGTTGGCAACACGAGAAAAAAATTGGTGCTTGGATGAAAATAACACTGGAAAAAAAATTTAATGTCACCTTTAATGCATGAATGGTGGGTGTCATCTTTAAAGCAAGCTCATGTGGAAATTAATTTTTAAATTGTGAAAGACACTGTGAATGTCATTTGTCTGAAAACTGGCTTCACCAAGATTGTTAAATTTGTCGAATGATTCATTTCACGAGAAAATTAAAACTCAGGAAATTAAAGGGAGATAACTGTTATATCTGGTGATTTTCTTAAATTATGTATCGTTTTAAAATGTCTCTTGTTAATTTTATTGTTGCATATTTATGATAATAAATGTTTGACAAGTCGGTTAGTTTGTTTAAGCGGATTATTTCAAGATGAGTTAAAACCAGGAAATTGATTAATTGATTAACTTTTTTTATTTCGAAAAACGAAAATAAAATATAAATAAAAAAAAAATGATTAAATAAAAATTATATAAATAAAAAACTGATTAAGTAAATTATATAAATAAAAAATATTTAAAATATATAATATATATATTAAACTTTTTTCTTTTTACCCTTTGCAAGGCCCAAAGGCCACTCAAGGTAGAGCATTACGTTAGTAGACCATTTGTGTGTATAGGAGTGGGAGATAATTTAACCTGAGCCTTGAACAGGTTACGACTGTAGTGATCGGGGAAACATCCTGTTGGGAGTTGGTTCCACAGAGCTTTGGTACTCAAGAAGAAGCAGTTCAAGTGGGACTTACTTCTCACTGATGGGATATGGAAGAAATGTTGGCAGTTTGCTACTATGTAAGTGGAATGGCATGTTCTTGCCCTGAAGATTTGACTTGGTGTGACCAGGGAATGTACACCCTTGTGCAAATTAATTAAAACAAAACAAATAATTCCGTTATTATTTGCTTTTTTCATATTTTTCCAATGAAACATGACCCAGTGCATATGTTAGTTCTTCGTATGTCTACCTTTATTTTTTAGAAGCTCTTTGATACAGTCCTCGTTGATTTTGAGGTCATGGTACCACACATCTATAATGGCCATCACAAGCTTCTCTTTTGTCATACACTCCACAATCTCTCTGTAAGGCTTGCCAGTGTGTTTTTGCAGTGTTACAATTTTCGTACACTTCCTTGGAGTAACGTCCATCGCAGACAATAGCCATTAGACAACTAATCGACAGTCAAGACAATAGTGTCTGGGCATGATAAAAATCTGATGCAATCATGGATGATACAATATTTTTCATGGCCAAACAAATTTCATCATACGCTCCAAAAATAGATTCATATTACTGCACACACCACTGCAAATGACCTAATCTGAGGGAAAAATAGAAATCAATTACACCCTGTCACTCCATTGAATCTAAAACTAACCATATGGTGAAAGAAAGGAAACTAAAGCGGTTGTTTCAATTAATTTGCACAAGGTTTAAGTTCATCCAAGCACTTTCCATGGAAAGATGCTTGCATATCCTGCCTGCCAGAGAGAGGTTGAAAGGTGGAGAATAATTTGTCACCCACAAGGTTGGAGTGTGAGGTCTTGGCAGCTCCTGCCCAAAGATAACAACAGGACTCTGGCCTGATCTAGCTCTTGTAAAGGTAAATGACAGCAGGTTCCGGAAGACTGGCCATTAATAACTATCTTCAAGGACCTACTTGTTAGGAAGGATTTTATATGGTCCTTCCAGTGATTCCATAACTGGAGTGTTTGTGTTGTAAACCTTTGTGCTACACCTTGTTAAAGACCTTTGAGATATCTAATGCTATGGTCCTGTAGGTTTGTTTGTCATCAAGAGCCTTACTGATTCTGAGTGTCGTTAGGACATCGGCAGTGGATCATCACTGAAGGGGTTGTTTTTTTCTAGATACTCAGTGACCTTCCTATTAATTATGGCCTCAAAAAGCTTACTGATGATACAAAGGAGATTGATGGGTCTGTACCAGGAAGGGGAAGATCACACACCTGCATTCTTGAAAACCGGGTATACACTTGACACTTTCATCATGCTTGGGAATGATTTCTCCTTCAAGCAGTAGTTGAATAACTTTGCCAAGATTGGGAATAATTCCAGGTTGATATTCTTTAGAACAACCACTGGAATTTTGTCTGGGCCTGTGGCTTTTTTTAGGGTCAGTACCTGTAATAAGTCTAGAGACTTCTCATGCTGTAATGGTAATATTACTGAGATTGTGCTCAGTGAGGCATGGAAACTTGGGGAGGGTATGGTCTTTGTTATCTAACGGTGAGATAGAGGCAAATAGGTTTGCCTTGTCTGTCAAGGAAGATTTGACCTCAGGGTCATTTATAATTGTTGGACACAGCCACTTTACCTATGTTCATGATTTGGTTGGTGATCTTCCATGGGGTCCAATTTTTCTTTTCAACCCTAGTCTGGACTGCCCATGTGTCACTGCCCTTTGTGTTTTCTACAATTTTTATGCAGCTATTGTGGGCAGTTCTGAATGCAGTGAGGGCTGAACCACATCACTCTTTGTGATAGATATTGAAGTAGTGGTTTTGGTGAGTTATTGCTGCAGTGCATTCAGGAGTGAACCAAGATTGACGTGTTTGGCTTTTGCTGAAATTTTTGGTGGGGTATAAAACTCTCCATTCCAGAAAGGATCCAATTAGTTGACAAGGGCAGCAGTTTTGGACGCAGCATGCTAAAAGAAGGTTGGGAGCAGAGCTTCCATCTTGTAAGATTGAAGGCTGTCTCAGTCTACCTTTGCCTAGCACAAGATCATTCTGTGGAACCATACATTAAGGGATACCTTAAAATAAAATGAATAATATGAATTAATACAGGAGACTTTTTAAAAAATTTATTTACACATGTATTTTGGATATAGCATTTAAATGGGTTTGTATTTTATCATTTTTTTAATTGTTTTTGAATATTCCTTGAATAAAAACAAAATATTAAGCAACATTATGTGAATGAAGACTCGTGATGGAGAAAAGTATTCATTGTGATTTTTAAAAAAAACCCAAAAAAACAAGGTTTTTAAATGATACATGATTTTAAAAAAAAAATTACTATTCAAATATAAAAGTTATCTCCCTTTGATTTTCTGGTGAAATTAACCATTCGATAAAGGGAAGATTTGATTTGATGGTTGCAGTGAAACTAGTTTTCAGACAAATTGCATTAGCCGTTAGGATTTCCTCCCATTGCAATCACTGACTAGACAAGAAGTGTTACATTAAATGAAATTATGTGACTGTGCGTGAAGGTGTCAGGTCTGAAGAATATGCCATGTGTAAAAGACCCTCCATTATTTGCTGTGTCAAATTTGCAGGCTTTGTGTTGCAGCAAAATTGCTGTTTCCTTTCCCAGAAAAGGCTCTGTTCTATTTCAATACATCACTTAAATAAGTTGGTGGATTCACCCGTTTCTCATCCTGGATATGACTATAAACTACATCCAGCTGCAAGGCCTCTGATCGGTTTTGAGGAGTGTACAACCTCCTCTTAATTGCTATTGTTCCCGGGTTCACCCTGACTTAAATTAAAACTATTTCTTCTGATTTTTGTCCTGTAAGACTTTGTATATTTGATCCTGGATTAAGAGAAATCAAAAATAAAGAATAAAAGGGAGACTGCCTATGACATAAACAGTAAACATAAAAGGCATTTCTAAGATTTCCCTAACATACATAAAAAGATGATTCTGCAAACTTTGCATCAACCTAACACTTTATGATAGCATTGACAATAAATATTTCCAGTAATAATAAAAAAAAAAAAAAAAAAATATTTAAATATGCTTTTATTTGATTTTTCTTTATCTGAATTTCTGAGATGTCTGGGTTTTCTGATATAATTTTTCATGGAGTCTAGTTTCAACATTTCCAGAAGATTTCTGAATATGGAAAATACCTGAGGAAAGTCAGAAGCAAAACATTGGGATGAAGACAAGGATAATGAAACTGGTCTTGGGTGGGGTGTATAATTTCTTGGCTTAAAATGTCCATGGTGTTTATTTCAGGCCCATTATTTGGTAAGATAAATGGCATTTTCTAATTTCTTTCTTGTAGATCCCATATCACTTACATACCAATTGGGATAGTTTCTACATGGAAATGCTTATGCTGGCTGGTTTGTGTGCCTACTTTCTCAATTTCCTTGCTGGAAAAACCAAAAACCATAAGTTAGCCCAAGCATGGCTGAATGGACATAAAGAATTACTCTATTCAAATTTCTTCATTGTTGGTAAGTTTTAACATTAAGCCATTTTAATAGGGGAAAAAAACATATTGTATTTTGCAGAAATCATAGGCCACCTTTTTCTTTTTCCAACCCTATTGAAAGAGGATAATAATCTTGGATTGGCCTACCTCATAACCCTAACAAATATTATAGAACCCATAAGGGATTATTTTAGAGAACAAAAGATAGTCCACGTTTAAAGAAGAGGTTAATGAAGTTTTGAAATAATGAACTGCAAATCTGCACCCAGAAATAAAAGGTTAAACAAAGAATAGTAGTTATTTCTGCCAAATATGAACTCTTTTTTGAATTCTGACTTATTTTTCAGGTGATGATGGTGCTACAAAGGATGCACAATCAGGAATGTTGATAAAAGAGTCTGAGAATGTGTATGCTCTGTGGTGCAGTGGTCGAGTCAGTGTAGAAGGGATGCTTGTAGAGTTGAAGTTTATTAAACGACAGGATCTTGTCAATACAATTGCACGGGCATTTAAACCAGCTTCTGACCAGATTGTAAGTTATTTTAAACTTTAATAATAATATTACTCTTTCTTTCAATGAATCCATTTCATTATTTGTATTGATTTAATTAAGGTTATTTTCATTGTTTTTTTTTTTTTGTTTTGTTTTTTAAATTCCATACTCAAAAATGTGATTTTATTATTGTTTTTCTAGGGGTACAGCAATGTGTTTATCTACTGCAGTTGGTATTTTTAGTTGCACATTTTTAAAGAATAATTCTGCTACTGAAACTAAAGCAATCTCCTACTTAAAAATATTTTAAGTTAGAAATTTAGATACAAATTCTCATATGATGTTCCAAATTTGAATATACAATATTCAAATTTGGAACATCATATCAGTTTGGGAGTTCAACAGCCATGCAGTGGTTAGCATTAATGTGCCTGCTTTGCATCACCTCTAAACTCAAAGCAGTTGTTGTCATTGTTAACTCTGGCATCTAAACTCAGAGTAGTAGGCAGACTTGTATATTTCTATGAACTTGCTACTATCTATTTTCAGTTTTTTTAATTTCTTCACAAAATCACCAAACATTACAAGAGCATAATGAATGATTATAAAAGTGATTTAAGATTCATATGATGATATGTATATATACACACAGATTTAGTTGATGGCTAAAGTTAATTGAAATATAACCATCTCAATTTGATTTTCTTTTTCTTTTTTTTTTTTTTTTAAAGGAGTGGATGGAACAACTATAGATTTTAGATTGAAGTACTTAAAATGTTTTGATGTTTGGCCTTGTCACTATTCTTAATGCTTGGTTACTTCAGTAAACTAGGGTTCAATCAATGGTGCTAAAAATGGACAGGCCCATAGGCAATAAATTTTATTTATACAGAGGGCTGATATGTTACTTATGTAAATATTGAGTGGGGAGAGCTATGTATGTTATGCAAATACAAAACTAATTTTAAAATATATTTGTTTTGCTTTGAAAAAAATTTTTTTTTTTTTATCTCTCTCTAGGTTGTAACAGTTGACATGGAACCAAATGCCATGGATAAATTTGTGCTTTGTGTTGCCCAAAAGAAAATTTGTGCTAAATTACATAGAGATATGTATGATTTGGTAAGTGTATTAAACACTAGAGTTACTCAATATCCAGTATCAAAAAAACAAAATACTTGTATTATTTTCAGAATACTATTTTGATTTAGAACAAGACTTTTTATTTTTTTTGTTACTAAAATTCACACTATAAAAGGCCCAAGAGCCACTCAAGGTAAATACTGAAGGTGATTGTTGTGTGAGCAGTAAAAGCAAGATGTGCAGTTTATGCATATTAAGATAACAGTTAACCCTAGATTCAAAGAGTTTAAAATTGTAGTGATCAAGAAAGCATCCTCCTAGGATTCTGTTCCAGAGAGAAACAGCTCTTGAGAAGAAGCTATCCAGGTGGAACTTTACTCCTTAGTAAAGAAATACAAAGAGAATAAGGATGGTTCACATCAGTGTACACAGGATGGTGTGTCTTATCTGGGAGGGTTAAAGTTGGGTGAAAAAGGAGTTATAAAATGAAAAAACAGCTCATCACCCACAAGGCCGCATTTTTGGATAGGAAACTGAAGACTGGGCAGCACTAAGCCAGATATGGCAGCAGTAACATAGTTAACAGCATGCAGAGTTCAAACTCAGACCGAAGTTGTTGTATTCAATTTTGCACAAATAAAATTGGGAAAGGTGTAAATCTATCCCTTCTCCCCCAAGCTATAGGTTAAATAGGACAGAATAGGCTCTAAAACTGTGTTTGTCAACCAGTCTAGAAGGACAAATCTGAATGCAAAACCTGCTACACTATTGGAACTGTACAATGACCTGCTCATCCAGCCAGCAACATGACAACATTTAATGACTAAAAAATGAAAATGCTCTGACCAGTGTGTTCAAATCTGCACACACTAATCTGGTAAATCAAGGCAAACAAGAGTATATTCAAAAGAGATCAAACCCATATAAGCTAAAGGCCAAAAACGTTTAAACAGCCATGCATAAGATAATTTAACGGAACTGTCACGGAATAAAGGCAAATATTTGCCTTCAGGAAATATTCCTTAAGCAAGGTGACAAAATGAATATAAAAGAATACCAGCAATACAACTATGCAAATGACACTTGGCTTCGTGCATCTGGTGGTACATCTATCTTAGGAATGATGTACCCCAAAGCAAAATTAATTTGACAACTATTTTACAGGCAACTGCTGTTAAAGTGATCCTACATAGGCCAAAAAACATTTGCCCAGTATATATCTCCCCCTAATGAATGAGTAAATGAAGCTGAAATTCTTGAAATTATAAAGCAACTCCCTACACTCATTATGATATTAGGGGACTTTAACTGTCACAGCACCATATGGGGGCTGCAAAGACACAAACCAACAGGGATGGACTTTAGAGGCAATTATAAACAACAATGATTTATCTCTATCTATAAAAGGCAGAATGTGTGTGTAACAAATGCACAGCCACAATTTTCAACGGATTTGCACCAAAATTTACATGCACATGCTCCAAGTTAGTGGGAAGGCCAAGACCAACTTTGCATTTCCCAACTCCCATCAATAGTGGAAATAATCGATTTTTTTCATGCTTCTACGGCAGTTTTCATGTAGTTTGCAGCCATTTTCTACTGGCCAGAGTGAGAGTCTATAGCTGGCTGCCACGAATAGAATATTCTATTGGACAGCATGAGAGCCAACAACTGACTAACACAAATGTTAACTCGCATGCTAGCATGCAAAAAAAAATCGATAGCTGCATTCGTCACAAGTGGGAAAAATTTAAATCTGGATGGCACTTTACTCTAATTGGCTCATTCACTTGCTTAAACTCAACGTTGATTCTGATTCTGCAGAACTGGATTGGGTGTAAAAAAGTATTTGTTGTTAACATTCTTTTTTCATTCGGTTTTTCCAGTTACGAGTCCTTTTTTTAAAGCTGATCGTTTTGTGTTCATTTTGTTTAGTTCTTTTTTCATAACAGATTTAATGTTTAGTATAGAGCTTAGAAAAAAATTCGCAGTGTGAGATAGGCAAGAAGTAAGGCATGTAGCAACATCAGCATGGCAAAGGGCACTCCTTTAAAGGCAAGGAAGGACAAAATTATTTTAAATCAAATGATAGAGATTGCTGTATGAGTCATACGATTTTTGAATCAAGCGCAGGCAACATCGGGCCATGCTGCTAGTGTATTTATAATGATAAAACTCCGACTTATATAAATCCATTTACTGGCAGCTACTCTGTAATAGATTTATTCATATGTGATTCATCAATCTATATGGATTTCTCTTGGAAGATTCTGGCAGACACATGCAGAAGTCAGCTCCCAGAAAATCTCTTAAGGAAGAAGTGGTACTGGTCCACATACTCATTGGCCATATGAGAATAACCCACTCATTCTTACTAAACAGAAATCAACCAGTATGCCAAACGTGTAAAACAGCATATACTGTTAAACATATATTAACCGACTACTCAGATCTTGCTCTCTCAAGACAAAAATACTATAACATAAACAAGAGGTATGAGCTGTTCAAGAAAGTAAAAGTGGATGATATAATATCATTTCTCAAAACAATAAGACTCTACCAAAAATTATAAAACAAATGAGAATGTCAGAATTAATTTCTCTACAAATTGTGTATCTGAAAAGAATACATCAATGAAAGACTCTCGACAACAACCATCTTTACCAAAGTATATCAATGAAACTGGATCTACAGTTTCCTGACAAAGAATATATATTCTATTCATATGAATCTATTGTAAAAATCTTGTCTTCAATAACCCATTGAAGTTGATATGCTGTAAACCAAACTAAATTGGCAGTTAGGTCTCATCATACTACTGTTGAAATTACTACTTGTCATGATAAGTTCTATGCTAACAGTTTCTTCTCTCGCACTTCTCACTTGTGGAACTCTCTTCTAGTTTCTTATTTACCAGTCACCTTTTTATTCTTCAAAAATTTAAATGCAATGTCAAACGTTATCTTCTGTGTTCTTAATTCCTGTTCTTTTATTGTTTTCTGTCCTTAATGATTTTTCTCAGATTCTTTCACACTCAGTAACCCCTTATGTCTTAATGGCTTTATCACCTTGCTTGAGGTGAAATGATTAAAAAACAAATAATTTTCAGAAATTAAATAGTTTTGGGTTTTTCAGTCTCTTAAATAGTAGGGCTTGGGAATTTCTCTGATACAGTCTTCATTGTAATGTTATACTAAAAAAAAATGAATTTTACAGCTTTATTTTTTTTAATATTGATGCCTAATTTTTTCTTTGCAGAGCCAGTTTTGTCTAGAAAAAAAGAGTCCTGAAAAATTTGAATTACCATCAACCTACCAACTGCTTAGTGAAATTGGTGAAGCCACAGCAGCTGTCCTTGATAAGAGGGTAACTTTGTAAATCTTTAACATAATGACTAATACAGATGCACAGGCCTGTATCTAAAATCGTTAAATTTCTTATATTGGTTATAAAATTATGACTTTGACATCCTCTCAGGTGGATGCCTGGGTGGTGTAATGTATAGCGGCTCAGAATGAGCAATCAGAAAACATTCATTTATATGCAAATACCCTTGGGAAGGTGTGAATCCATTTCCTCCTCACAGCTATGGGTTAAATAGTTAAATCTAGAAAAATCATTGTTATTCTCCAAAAATTTTTAATTCTCCCGCAAAAAAAATAATTCTTATAATCTGAAATATGTTTTGGCTTGATAAGCCGTTAAAAAAAAAAAAATTATGACTATGATCCTAACTGCAGTCAGGCTTATTTGGTCAGTTAATAAAATCAAAAGCTCACTTAACTGTTAGAATCACCGTCATTTTTAATTATTTTATATCCAGTGTAATTTTTGTTGGTTAGTTGTAGGTAGTTTCTCCATTATTTTCTTAAATATATTGTTATCACTATGTAGGCATTAACATATATGAAATTTTGATGTTTTTCTATTTAATTATATATATATATATATATATTTATATGTTTTATATATATATATATATATATATATATATATATATATAGTGTGTGTGTTGCATATTTCTAATGACATTGTTATTTCAGGTTTGCCATATTCTTACAAAATATGAAGGATTTGTGGAATACATTCACTTTTCTGACATGTTCTCAGGACCTAAAAGTCAAGAGTAAGATTTTTTTTTTTTCTTTTCCTGAAATCTGATGAAATCTACACTTGTACTAATAAGAATCATTTGAACATATCCAATATATGTCCCAGGCATTTTGACATCCATTTCAGCACTTGAGAGTATTTAAGTCATGACACACTAATTTTTCAGAAATTAGCATTCAATTTCTTACCCAAATGGCCAGTATTTTAATAACAAATCTGTTCAAAATTTAAGATGTATTAAACACCAAGACATATCTATATTCCAATAAATTAAACCAAAATTCTTTTTATTTATTTTAATATTCATTGAAACCAAAAATAAGTATTCATATGTGTTCATATCTATATCTATTTATCTATCATATATATATATATATATATATATATATATATATATATATAAACTAATTTATCTAATGACCAACTCCAAAACTTCTTGTAACACTCATCAGGCTCAGAGGGTTTTTTTGATAATCTTCTTGAGTTCTTACTAGATATCACATTTATACTCTACAAAATAAATGCTAATCATAGACTTCAAATTTGAAATTTGCACTATGCTAGATTTTGTTAAAAGGGTTACATATATATATATATATATATATATATATATACATATATGTTTTGACGTTGGGGTCAACATCCAGTGGTGACAGTCTGTTTCTTGCTTAAAGGCAGCCTTCAGGCTATGGCCTGAAGGTTGCGTTTTAAGCATGTAATAGAGTATCGTTGATGGGTGTCCACTTTTTATTTATATATGTTCTATCCCTTTAACCTTTAATACCTCATACCTTAAATCTGTATTTTTATCAAATAGATATATAGTGTTGATTTCTATGTCCACACTGTTTATATCTCTAAACAATCTCTCTGATTCTGACCCCCACCCTCTTCCCTCATAGCAAATTTTAACCATATAGAAGAATTATTATATTTTAAAAATAAACTGGATTAATCTGGAAAAATTAATTATCTTATGAAATGAAAAATTTGTGGATTTTGCTACAATTTTTTCTGACCTAAAGGACCCGTAATATTTTATTTTTAAACAAGTAGTTCAATATTTACATTAGTCAGACTATTGTCCTCATCTTTGTCGCCATATTTGTCACAACGTTTCGGCTGTTGTACGCTCCGGCCTTCTTCAGGTGGTAGGAATTTCAAACTGAACCCTTTATTTCGATCACTGGACACATGGCACAATGGATAAAGGCGTTGGTTAGATCCAGTGACAGACCCAAAAGAAGGTGAGTTCAATTCCTGGTTAAGGCAGTGGAGAACTTTCAGAGGGAAAATTAGCAGGAGATAACTGATAACTGACATCCATCAAACATGGCACGTGGAACTAGAACAGTCTACCCCAGTGATCGAAATAAAGGGTTCAGTTCGAAATTCCTACCACCTGAAGAAGGCCGGAGTGTACAACGGCCGAAACGTTGTGACAAATATGGCGACAAAGATGAGGACAATAGTCCGACTAATGTAAATACTGTACATAATACCTCATCTCAGAAATATAGACAGACTCTGAAGTAGTTCAATATCTTTTAGTTTTTTTTCTTAAACTTGTATTACAAAGTGCTCATGCCTTAACCACTTTCCACAGTAATTTATAAAAATTTCCCAGCTTATAATGGCACTTGGTATATCACATTGTCTAAAACTGACCATATAATAAAACTGAAACATCAACTGGGGTTTACTCCCTACTCTAAGGAATTCTGTTGGAAGTTTGAATATTTAATAGTTTAACATATTTTTCAATTTTATAGATGACAATTTAAACATTTTTTCAATTAATTAGAGAAAGCCTTGTTGTTTTTTGTGTTCCGTCAAATTCTTTGTGCATCATCCTTTGGTATATAAGAAAAGAAATAAATGTATGTTGTATAAAAATTTTCTAATCCTTGGGAATTAAAAAAAATTTTTTTTTTTTAAGAAAAAGTAACACCAAACATTTTTGTTTTTGTAATTCATTATCAATAGCATGAAGACAAATCTTGTGATGCACTCAATAAAAAAAAAAACTTCAAATAGTATATAACAAAACTTTTTTTTTCTTTCTTTTTTTTTAATTACCTTTACAAAAAATTACATCAGTAATTTGAAAAATATTTTTGCAATTTCTTTAAATTATTGAATTTTTAAAAATGCAACAGTTAAATTTAAAAAAAAATTAAATTTAAGAGAATGACTGTTTTTGTCTGGTTCACATTCCTCCTCAGCCTTTTGAACAGGAGTAAAGGTTTATCCCTTGTTTCCTGTTTAGGATTGGGTTTCTGGTTTTTTCTAAATTCTTCTCATTTTCTTTTTACTCCCAGTAGCCCTTTGCATCTTAGTGGCCTCATTGCCATTCTGAGATGAATTGAAAAAAAAAAAAAATTCAATAAATCCTTTCAGAAATTGCATAATAGTAGAACTCAGAAAATGATATATTTATACAGGATGTGATGGATAAATTATTACCACTTTATATCTTTTTTTATTTTATGTGTGCTGTTTGTTTTTGATTTTGTCAACTATACAGTACGGTAGGGTCAGTGGGGCACCATCTGTGAGAAAAAGAACATCCTAACACAATACACTCTGCCAGAAATTTGTAAATGGCATGTTATACTGCTTGGCATTCATGCCAGAAGCTCTAGTACAAACATTTCAGAGTGTTTGACAGTGCAGAGGATTTGGAAGGAGTTGGATGAGTCTAATAGTGATTACAAATGTGTTTGGAGAAATCACTAGTGATGGTGACATTATGTCTCCATTCATCTTCCCATCGGGCCTCAGACTCAACATGTAGGCCTACATCAAGTGCCTTGAGGAGGTAGTGCTGTCCTTGGTCAGGAGGGTGGCTGCTGGAATACACTGTGTCTGACAACAGGACTTTGCACCATGCCACACAAGCAGGAGAACAGTCATGGGTGTCAGACAATTTCTGTGACCACATTACCCATTACATCTGTCCTCAGACTGCAACCCCCTTGATTATTATGTGTCGGGTGCAGTTGAGTGAGAGACCAACAAAACTCCTTGTAACACCAAAGATGAAGGCAAGGATTATGGCAGCATTCACCAACTAAGGAGACTGTCCAGAAAAGATGTAAGAGATTTTAAAGTCATCTGGAGGCCGTGGTTGAAGCCAATGGCGATTTTATTGAATAAATTTACTCTTTAATATTTCAAGATAGTTTTGTGTAATTTTGGTAAATATATCTGTTAAAATGAGTGTTATTTTCTTTTTTTTTTTTTTTTTTTTTTTTTTTTTTTTTTTGTAATTTAGACGACAATTTATTCATCGCATCCTGTATACATAACAGTGTCTACACCTTTTGTGACAAAATTGAGAATTTTTTTTACTGTGTACTGAAATATTTTTTAGAGCCTTCTTAAATATACAAAGCCAGTAGCTGTTGGACTTTTATTTTTGGAAACTAAAAATAAACATCACCTAATATACATATGGGCCATCACTTTTATAATTATTAATCAGAATTACAGAAAAGTAAACTTTGAGCAAAATTATTAATCAGTTATGCTCCAAAATTATAGCAATTTTTTTAAAACTATTCATTTAAAAGAAAAAGAAAAGCTTTTCTTTTGGATTACACTATTGAACTAACAATCATGCTAAAGCAGTTGATTAATAAATTGCATAGTCTAAGAATAATACCTACCATGATCACTATCTATTGACCCTAGTTTTCCATACTGATTTTAATACTTTTTTATCATGCTATGAAACAGTTTATAAAAGTATGTTTTTCAATTCCTTTTGCAAGTGATATTTATATATTGACTTTTTCCATTGCAGAGAAACAACTCCTCAAAAAATGCCCAACTCTAAACCCGTATTAATATTTTGCTTCAATGGTATGTGTTTACTCCATTTTCTTCTTTCTATAGATTTTCTTCACCCTCATTCCATTTTTCTGAGGTTTCTTTCAATCATGAAATTCATGTAAACACTTCATTTTTATACCCTTTGTTCTTTCATTGATTTTCTGTTCTTACCTTAATAGTCTTAAGTTATATTTGCCATCAAAAACAAGTAGAGCCGTGTGATATCAGCTTCTATTGATATTTGTGTATGTATGCCTTTTTTTTTATTAATGAGGAACTTCCAAATAGGAAAGATTCTACTTGTAAGTCTGTATATTTATTTTTTTAACCCAATACAAAGGCCACTCAATGTAAAGGTTTACTAAGTGAAATTGTTGTAAGAGACAGGTAACCAGGAAGTGCATATTCTGAAAATATGTAGGACAGATAACAGCTGATTCCAGACTTAGAAAGGTCAAGATTGTAATGGTTATATAAACATCCTCTCAGAAGTTTGTTCCACAAAGTAATAGTTCTGGAGAAGCTGTCTGAGTGGAACTTACTCATTACCAAAGGAATGTATTTGACTTAAGAATAGTTTTGTAGCAATTGAATGGGAGTGTAATAATACCTACCATAATCACGAGCTGATTTTAATAAGAAATAAGTCACAAAACAGATCTACTTGGTCATATTATTAACTCTTTCTTTCCATATACATTTCATTCATTGCATTGCAAAAGCTACAATAATTCTTACAATCAACAGAAATTAATCTTGGGTATAACCCCTAATCTATTCTCTAGTAAAAGGCATTTATCTATATGTCCTGTTTAAACTCTCAAATTACAATATTAAGACCTGTAAAACTATATATTCAGCACGTTCCAAGAAAGGTTTTGATGACCACTTTATTTCTGTACTCTTTGTATAAGCAAAGATACATGCAAATTATTATGTCCAATATTTTTATCATTTCAAATTTAAATCCAATGTCATTCAATTACTTTTTAAATAAACAGCAACAAAATTAATAACTGCATGAATTGTAGAATATTTTATACATTTCATTTAATAAAGGAAGATCTTTCAAAATTATTATTACTAAATTATTTATTTTATGTAAAAACAGAAATCTAAAAACCCTAAAGAACTGTCTATTTATTTACATACATAAACCCTATGTTATTCTATTGCTGTCTTAAACAGTGGTAAAAAAAAACCTGAGTTAAATTGAAAATGAAGAGATTAAAAGAATACACAATCATTTTATTTAATAAAAAGTTTGTTTTAAAATTATAAACATTCCTGAGAGGCCATCTTTCCTTGAAGAAACATATTTCCAGTTTTTATCTAATTACAATCTTAAGCATAAAAATTTGTTTTTAAAAGTGAAAAATGTTTGAATTTACAAATATCTTGGTCTATATATAAAGGAATAAATTATCAAAACCTTCCATGAAAAATGACAACTTGGAATATATATGGTCTTAAGGGTCTAAATATTGAAGTTTAAACCAAACACATATATTCACAAAAGATTTAAAACAGAGTTAGTGATTCTTTTATAAATTTATTTAAATAGAGAAGAAAAATGAAGTTAAATTGTAATAAATATTGTTATAATCAATGATATTTGGTTTAACAAATCACAACAGCTATTAGGGAGATATACTTTAATCTTTAAAAAAAATTTATTCAGTATTATTATTGTTTAGGTAATAAGTATTATAACATAACACAAATAGCTATATTGTGGAAAAAAGAATTTTCAACACTATACGCATTTTTTACATATTATGGTTACTTTTTAACTTTTATCAAAAGCGACATTCTTGTACATGTAGTTATAGATATTATTATACATTAATTACTGATTTTTTTAATTAATAACTATTTGTGCTCAGTTGTCGACATTAATGGCTATCCATTGATGTGTTAAAATTTTGGAATAATGCAATAATAAAAATTTAAATTTGTCGCCATATTTATCATGTTTCGGCCATACGCTCCGGCCTTCTTCAGGTGGTTGGAATTTCAAACTGAACCCTTTATTTCGCTCACTGGGGTAGACTGTTCTAGTTCCACGTGCCATGTTTGATGGATGTCAGTTATCTCCTGCTAATTTCCCTTAACTGGGTATTAAACTCACACTCTTTGGGTCCTGTCACTGGATCTAACCAACGCCTTTATCCACTGTGCCATGCATCCTGGGTATGAATTTCTGGGTATTATAAACCTAATGTCTTCAGCAACCATTTTTACCAGTGCTCATATTGCAACTTTCTTTTTATCCTCTCTCTCTCTCTCTCTTTTTCCAGTGCCTGGCAGGGGTCGTACCAGCACATCAGATATGGAAGGCATGAAGCCATTAATGCAGATGATATTTCATTGCATTGACAAAGTCAGTCGAATGCAACTCAGCAAAGATGTAAGTGTCGCCCTTACATAGATTTTCTTTTGATATTCACATTGTAATTATTTCAAATTAAGTGATATATATATATATAATATCCCTTTTCTGTCAACAACACTTAATTCCTCATCTCTGAAAATTCTTTTCTTTTTGAGTTTCATTGCACAAAATTTGTTCAAACAAAATCTAGATAATATTACCAGTGGTTAAATCATATCAGATTACTTTTCTAAGCACTGATGGTGCGCCATTAATAGCCCTGTTAATGACTTTTGCCTTTTTACACCAAATTCACTAAGAATGGACTCTTACAGATTTTTCTGTGTTTCAGTCAAAATATACTCTTTTTACCCTCTCCACCTGCCTCTGAAGTTAATATTTTGCCTAAAATAATAAGTAAAGAAATGATTTACTTGTTGTGTCTGGTCATGTGTTAAATATACAGTGGAAATTTTTGTCCCTGTTTACTTCCTTGGTATACTTCTAGTATTTGCCATGTCAATATATATGTAAGCATTAGAGTGAAAAACAGTATTTGTTTAATAAATCCTACCTCTGATGTCATTGCCTACAGAAATAACTAGTTCTTCATCATTTGACTAGTTTACTCGTGTCATCCAAAAATGAAGACAATAGAAAGTAATTTTGCAATTTTATTGTACTTGTAAAATCTAAAAAAAACTTTGTTTTGCATAGTTTTATCTATATTCAGTACTTTGTGAATATTAAATTAAAAGTAAAATTAAGTAATGATGACAAGCGATACTCTCCCTTGTTTCAATGTCATAAGTGAAAACTATTATAATAAATGAAACTATTGTTTTTATATTACTTTTAATACTATAAACATGTTGTGGTATTTCTGTTTTGTCAAACAGAAGTGTTCATTACATTTGCGCATCTCTACTTTGTGGATTTCTCTGGTGATGTAAAAAAATATTGCACAATAAATGTGTCTGTGTGCACACACGCATATTTAGAATCAAGGAATAATTTTACAATGCCTGAAAATTGTGCCCAGCACAAAACTTTGGCATTCTTAACTTGTATTTTAGAGTTATTATTATTTTAGTATTTTAGAGTTATTATTATTATTTTAGTATTTTAGAGTTATTATTATTATTTTAGTATTTTAGAGTTATTATTATTATTTTAGTATTTTAGAGTTATTAGTATTATTTTAGTATTTTAGAGTTATTAGTATTATTTTAGTATTTTAGAGTTATTAGTATTATTTTTTAGTATTTTAGAGTTATTAGTATTATTTTAGTTTTTAGAGTTATTATATTATTATTTTTAATTTATTTTTTTATTAATATTTTAGTATATATTTAATTGCCATCAAAAATTGGGTACACATGTTAGTAGACATCCCCATTTTGTAAGCAATGCAATTAATCTCCACCAGCCTAAACAGCAGAAAGTTTTATTAAATTTCACATTAATTTCACGGTTTCTAAAACGTGGGGGTGGTGTCCACTCAAATGTTTTTATTCACTAAAATAATGTTTATAATAATAAAATTGTTGGATTAAAATCCATTTTAACTACTTGAATTACTGTGTTTAGGTTTTGGATACAAAAATATAAGTTAGTAGATATACACATCAAAAGTCCCAACAAAATATGTACCTTTCATAAGGAGGAGTAATTGAGCCTTGCTTTGCTGTAGAGACCTCCATGGCTGAACAGTTAAAGCACACCTAGCTAAAAAGTATGTAAGAAAGTTTATTTATAATCATAGATAATGTTATCAAATTATTATCCAAATGAGCAATTTATTTGAAATGAATTAAAAATAATAATTTCAGATCAATAAATTTGTATCAATTTTTTTTTTTTAATAATGTAAAATTGTAATTATGAATTTAATAACAATGAATGTATACTATTGCCTGTTTTTGTTTTTTTGTTTTTTTTATATCGCTTGTTTAATGTAATCGCACTAAGCAGTTTCCTCTGAATAGGTGACATTTCTTTGCATATGTTTATAGCTTAATGATTATCTTGAGAGCCTCACATTTTTTTTTAGGCTCGGCAGAAAGCTGAAAGAAACAGACAAAAAGCAGAAGAAGCATTTTTAAAAGCAGCCCATGCACAGCGCCAAGAAGCTGCTCAGGCAAGACGAGAAGAAAAGAGAAGAGCAGAAAAGGAAAAAATAATGAATGAAGATGACCCAGACAAAACCAGAAAATGGGAGGTGAGTTTATTACCCCACCATCCTACATTCATTCTTTATTGATAAGTCTTTAGAAACACTTCAGTTTGTCTTCATCACAAAAAAATCTATTTCTTTTCCTCATCATAATCAGATGTAAACCATTGGGCATCCCACTGTCATGTCCATAGATTTGTAAATGGTATAAAAGAGGAAACATTTTCTAAGTATGTTAAAATGATTAGAAGATTTGAGATTGTTAATGTTTGGTGCTACAATGTGAAAGTATTTGATTTTTAGAATAATTTCTTTTAATTTATCCTTATAGAATTCATTAAGTGCATTGATACTGATAACTAATTATTTGGTTCATGCCTTTTCCAAGGGCATTAATGCAAAGTGAATACAAATTCTTACAACCAAAGTTCAAACTTAGTTTGCTAATTCCATTCTCAGTAGCATTAAGCCACCTGAACTATCATATATATATATATATATATATATATATATATATATATATATATATAGTGTATTTGGGCAGCAATCCTTCTTTTATGCAAGTTTCATTGAAAATGGCTGACAACGTGTATGTATGTGTGTGTGTATATATATATATATATATATATTGTATTTGGGCAGCAATCCTTTTATGCAAGTTTCATTAAAAATGACTGACAATGCGTGAAGGTTGAGTTTTTATATATAATTTCTCGTGATCATATAGTTTTTTTCTTTTCATGACATAAATTACATAAAAATTGTTCAAATGTTTTCCAAGCACTTTCAGCTATACTTTTAGCCATTATCAAGGATGAATTTTATTTTACTTTTAACTGAATATATAGATTATTTTATCTCTGTATTTAGAGTTATAGGAATGTTTTATTTTCCAAATACAGTCAGCACATTATGGCCATGTTCATGTTTCTGAGTGTTTGTTTTTTTTCTTTTTTTATTAATAATGCTTCCATTATTTTTAGCCTTTTTGTACATGTGGATGATGCTATTATATTTGTATTATCAACAAGTATTTTACGGATAGTTTGATAGGTCTCCATGTGTTTTCAAATGAGACCTAATTTAGCTATGGTCAGAGAAATGTAATGTGAGTCTTGTTAAACATATTGTAGTATATCCAATATAATGATTTAGAAATTTGGATTACCATAGACTTCTTTTTTTTTTTTTCTAAAGTAACCAATAACAACACTGAACACACAGAAAATAACAATAACATTTTCTACAAAAATCAAATGCAGAGTAAGTATTAGCAAGACAAATCTTCACTTAGAAACTGTGTTCAAATGTGTCACAAAAGAAAGAAAAGAAAAAAATCTAGTCTCTCTTCTACTGTTGTAGCAACGGGCACAGTCTCCACTTCTGAGACTGAAACTGCCCTTCTTCTCATTCCAGCCCTTTATATAGAGCTTGGTAACTCGCCCATGCAAAACACCAAAAAGCCAGCTACCAATCACAGTTTCCACGCCTACCCACCTCCACTCGCTTTGCGGGTGTCGAGTTGACCAACCAACTCATTACACGCCTTAAGTGGAATTTGTATATATTTCCATTGCTAAAGACACTAGGAAAATGGTCAGCTACTTTTACCACTCCAGAAAGTACCTAACTCTACATTCCATGCTCTCTATTTTTACAAGAGTCAGATCAAACCAAAAATGGACTATTGCTGCCGTATCTGGTCTGGAACTGCCCAATTATCTCTTTCCAGAGTTCAAAAGTGTTTATGCAGCTTTGTAGGTGATGAATTATTTCCCATTTTATAACCCCTTCCCCACATTCATTCTTTCATCCATAAAACTTCATTCATTAATCCTCTACCTTGAGTGGCTCTTGGATCATGTATTGGGTGAATTAAAAAAAAAAAAAAAAAATATTCCAGTTGGAGGACATCAGCTGTGGTTTTACCTGAAGAGGTCTATTTGCCTATGGCACAATACACATGAATGGATACCTCTCCAGCTTTCAACCCAAATGTATGGATAGAACTGATCAGGTGCTCTACAACCCCACCTGATCATGGGATTGAATATGATGATCAAAATAAGTGGAGCCAACATACAACTGATGAAGGTCAGAGATTACATTAACTCAAAAGTGTAATCATAACAATGATGAGGATAAATTAAATAAATCTGAAATGATGACAAGACTTCATCTCGAAACTTCAAACAAAATTGCATGAAGATAACAAAAATTTGGGTGGAGAATTAGCAATTTAATGCTTTTTCATGATAAATTCAATGTGAATTTTAAAAATGAGAATTTTTGTCATTTTCAGTATGATTTGATCTGCTTCTTTTTATTTTATTAAAGAATAAAAGTTTTCGGGAAATTACTGCATTTTGTTACTGAAAGCAATTTCTTTTTCTTTTTTTCTTTTTTCTTTGTAGGAACGTGAAAGTAAAAGAGACATGAAAAGAAAGCAGCCAAAAATGAAGGTTATAGAATTAATCTTTCTTTTTTATCCATTTATCAAGAATGCAAACTTCTCCTTTATCTTCTCCTTCTCCTCCTCTTTATCTTCTCCTTCTCCTCCTCTTTATCTTCTCCTTCTCCTCCTCTTTATCTTCTCCTTCTCCTCCTCTTTATCTTCTCCTCCTCTTTATCTTCTCCTCCTCTTTATCTTCTCCTCCTCTTTATCTTCTCCTCCTCTTTATCTTCTCCTCCTCTTTATCTTCTCCTCCTCTTTATCTTCTCCTCCTCTTTATCTTCTCATTATTATTATTATTATTATCTTCTGCCAAGTTGTAGTAAGCAGAAGCTATATTCCTTGAAATTTATGTACTTCATTTTACTGCAAATTTCAACCCTAATTTCAAAAACGTGTGTGTTCAAATGAAAACAGAAATCAACTTATTCCTTTTGAATTATTCCAGTAAATCTATATGTAAAATTCCTAGAAAAATGACCTTGAGTTTTCATAAGAATGGTTAAATTAAAGTGTCTCTACCATTTAGCTCAATTGCTAGGCCTTTGATTGGGACATTGAAGAGCTTGAGTAGCATGGAACCACCTCTTGTTGTTGTTCCCAAATCCACACTGATCTGAGGGGGTACCACCTTTTAGGATCCCAACTATGGGTAAATAGTGAACCCCCAAACAAATCACTATGAAAGTATAAAAAAATACCAGCAATATATTTTTATGTAAAAAAACAAAAGGGGGGGGGGCAACAATACATATTTATAGTAAAATGACCAACAGTATATTTTTAAAGCAAAGTAACCAGCAATACATTTTATCTGTAGTTAAAAGTATACAATTGCAATTACTTCAAAGATCCCAAGAAAATTCAATATCAGCATTAAATGATCCATAAAGAATTGATATGCCATTAAACAAATCAATCCATTGGTAGCTACCATACAACTTCACCTTTTATCTTATGTCTGTTATTGGGGGGAGGGGGGGTCTCGGCACATCTTAACTCATAAAATAATAAAATCCTGTATCAATTATCTTACTTATTATCAAACGCAGATTGTGTGTGTCTGTGTGTGTGTCTGTCTGTTTATATATGGGATCTTATTTCCTACATTTTTCAACCGATTTCAACAAAACTTCACAGGACTACGTAAAATTACCTGGCGGTGGTTCTGACAGCGCCAAAAATTGGAAAAACACAATTGTTTTTGCACAAAATCAATTTGAAAACACGATTAAGTCGCCAGAATGAAAGGGGGACAACTCGTATTGAGTTATTACTTATTATAAAACCCGGGTTGTTTGTGTGTCTATGTTTGTTTATATTTCAACAAAACTTCACTTTTTTTTTTGGCAGGTAGTGTTTCTTATTGTCTTGCACACTTTTTTTCTTTATTTTTACATTCAGAATGCTTTTAAAATTCCATTTACAAGACGATTATTTATAATAAAATTCTATTCAATCAGTAGACTCATAACAATTGAAAACAATGTTTTTGTTTGAGTTTGGGTTTGACCAATTCATAAATAAAAAAAAAAAAAAACTAATTTAAACATGCGTGTCCGTCAACCTTAAACAATAATCTTTGTCAAATTTATTTTTTAGTCTTTATGATGGTCGATACTTGATAATAAGAACCTGGTATTATATATATTCCAACCTATAACCCATTAATGTCTACCCTCCTATTTTAGGGACAGTAGATGATGAATTAAAAAGAAATTAATGGACAAAGCCATTTTTCCCTACCAATTCAGTTGTACAATTCCTTTTGCTCTATATGAAAAGCAGTTGTTAGTTTTTGTATTGAATAACATTTAAAACATTTTGTGACAGTTTTTCTGTTTCCTTTTCAGCGAATGACAAGATCTTGAATATCAGAAATGATGAGCTGATGTTCGCTTCTCCCAAGAGATGCACTCAGGATCTTAACACCTTTTGCTAATAACACACTCTCACACACACTCTTTCTTCCAAAGCACTGGAGGTCCTTCCTCTCTCCAAATATTGAACTGCTTTTTCTCCTAGAGTCCAAATCGAGGCAGCCACATTCACCAAGACCAACCTTGGCCTCACAGTCGGAAAAAAAAACTAAACAAAACAAAATAATCATCCTCAAAAGAGCACATTCTGTTGCAAGCAAAATTTTGTCATTAATTTTTCCTTCAATGTGCCTTCACTTGGCATCCTTTTTTTTTTTTTTTGTATTGGGCTGAAGAAGGAATGGGGGTTGTGTTGTTGTTTTTTTTTTTTTTTCCCCACTTAATCATTTAATTTCCCCTGTTTTGGTTTCTGTGTTGTGTGCCTGTATTTTTTTTTTTTTTTTTTTTTTGTGCCTTTAATTTCTATTCTTTGTCTCCAGCGGCTCCCATCCACCCAACCAATGTTTTTCCAAGTACGGGAATGATTGACAATGAGTCTTATCATTCTCACAACTATTCTCCCTTTATTATTCTTTGACTAGGTCATCAACAAACAAACAAAAATACAATCGGCTTCACATTTGCTCATTGGTTAGAACAGCTTCCAACAAGTTGGAGGTTCCATCCCAAGTGCCAATGCTTGTTACCTCACCTTCACATTAAAGGAGGAAAACTGATTTCAAACAAGAACAAAAAAAAAAAACAAACACACCTTTCTCTTAAGCAGTCTTGCATTTGTAAAAAGAAAAAAAGAAAAAAAAGATACCATACTCACATGGTATAACTTAAACATATAACGTGTAAGAGGTTTCCATTTTTGAAAAAAAAAAAAAAAAAAAAGGAAAAAATTCAATGAATTGTGAATATTATTTTTTTTCACCACACATTGGCTTTACTCATTGGATTGAATGCATCCATGCCAAGATAACATGGACATGACTATTATAATTATGATTATACATAATTATAAGTCAAACTAGAAATTTGCTGGTGGTAGGGCATCTTTGCTATTTTTAGCTTTTATTTTTCTCTCTCTCTCTCTCATTCTCTTTATTCTTGTTGTTTTTATATTTCAAACTCTGTTTTCTGGTTTATACAAGTAGAAAATAATAATAATCATCATCCCTGGATGGCAACAAGGATGTAATATTCCCTTGCATATTTATTTAAATGCAATAATTAGGTATTTTTCAAAAAATCTAAAGCTTGTGAGAGATTTGAACCCAAAACCCCAATTCCTGCCCCCATAAGAATACAAAGACTACTCTCTGCCCTAACCCTGCCCAGTCTATAATGCTGCCTACTGCCTCCTTTTTTTCATCTTTCTTTTTATGCCTGACAGACGGTCTTCAGTAACAGACATAAGTAGATTTAAATTGCTTATTATAAATTAACCAATTAGCCATGTCAGGAATCTCCTTCAAAATTACAATGACTGAAATGGCTCTTACCTACTGTTAATGAGTTCATAAACAGGTTAGTTAGTCAAAGGTAAAACCTATTGTAAAAAAAAAATATATATAAAATAATACACTTTACTGATTAAAAGAATAATGCAATGTTGAGAATTCTTTCAAAAGAGCTAATGATCAGGATTGCCAGGAATTAACAATTTTCTGAGACACACTTGAAGAAAGCAAATATTTAAACCTTGAATAAACTTTCAAAACTTGTATATCTGGAATCAATTCAACTTGTGAAGCCAAAAGTATATTTATCTGTCCATAACACAGTGTGTTTAAGACTATGGAAGTGGGGATACCCTGATCTAATTGTCTACCCTAAAATCTGCAATGGAAACTTTTTAAAGAAATAACCTGTATTGTAATAAACCTCAGTTGTGTCAACTGATAAACACAATTTGCTTTATAGATTTTGTTTTGTTTTTTGTTTTTTTTTCTCTTCTTGGGACTCTCTTTCCTCACTCCCCATACATAAACACTAAATTTCTCTGCCCCTGCACAGAAGATTAAACAAGATGAAACAGTCCATCTTTAATAAATACTAAAGGCTATTGAGTGCTATGGACCAAGCATGAGTCTCTTTTCTGGCTTTGTCAAAGGATTGTATAAAAGTTCAAAGTCTGTTCTCTCAATTGACATTCAAACTCGGGAATCCTGTAAATTGCTTTAATACGAGTTCTCAAAGAAAAGATTTTCTTTTGTTAATGACTTATATAAGGGAACCAATTCACTCACTCAAATTTCTTACCAATTATGAAACCAGATTCCAAAATCAGATTTTTTTTTTTTTTTTTTTTTTTATCATTAAACAAAGTGATATCCAAATGCAGTAAAACCTCAAATTAATAGTTCCGGAACCAACAAACTTTAGATTTAATTTTAGAACTATTCAAACTTTATTTAAAGGTATATAGTAATTTAAAAAATAAAATACACATATATACTGTATTTACATTTATTTACAATAATTTTGTACTGCACTGGCCATGAAAAAAGTGCTTCAAATTAACGGAGAAACAGTTTTAACAGACAATCCTCTCCTCCTATTAGTCCATTAAATTGAGCTTCCGCTGTATTTGATAAAAATGTACGCTAATTTTATTTTTTAATCTTAATTCATTTGACAACAAAGCAAAGGATCTGTTTAGATTTACTTCCATTTAAAGTTGTGTTAAATAGGCTTGCAACAGAAAATATTTTTAAGCTAACTGAAAATAAATCTAAAATTAAAAAAAACAACACTTGTAATATGAAAAATAATTTATTATAAAATTTCACCAAAATGACAATAAAATAGAATCCAAAGTTAATTTTAGAGAAGTTGGATCTGATTACTTTAAACCACATTACTGCTGCATGTGAAATTTATTTTTTTTTTTTTTTTTTTTTTTTTTTAAGTGCAAAGGCTTGAGTTGAAGCTTATCTCCATTGAATAAAAGAACATATGTTAACATTTTCAAGGACAACTCTCAAATAAGTAAATCAATCAATTAGGGAGTGGAGGGGGGATTAGCCATTGCATAAGTGGAGATGTCAACAGAAAAACTTCAGCTTTTGTAAGACTAGGAAGTTATCATGAAATTCATTTTGCTATTTTCAGCTTTTTTTATTAGTATATAGGAAAATATACTGCTAAAATTTTTCAGGGGATACTTTTATAATACAAAACATTTATAAAAAGGAAAAAAAAAAAAAACGGATCCTGGTCAGCAATTTTATAAAATTATTGGACAAACAAACAAACTTGAAAATTATTTTGTTTAAAAATGTTGATAATTGTAAATTTCACAGAGAAATCATGAAAAATTTAAAAAAAAAAAAAAAAAAAAAGCAACATGTTTTGCAAGTAATGCTTAATTTTGAAAACCTGCTATTTTGTTTATGATTTGCTTTAGTTTTAAACATTATTTTCACATACCTAATGAAAATAAAATACTCTATCTAGAACAAAGCAATAAAACACCATTAAAATGATGTTTATCCATTTACTACACTCTTCAATAGGTGCAGAAAGTGAACTTATCCAGCCGAGTCTGTTGTAATTTTTTTTTTTTTTTTTTGCACAAGTGTCCTTGGGGAAGGGATCTCTAGCTTTGTTTGGTGATCAGAATGAAAACTAAGTTACAATAAAACTTTGGAGAAAGTAAAGGGAAACTACTCCAATATCTTACCCAGGAAGTCACAGCAGTACAATCTTCAGACTGAAATTGTAGCTTGTTAGGTGTAAGAAACTAATTTTGATTTACAAAAGAAAAGATTTTACCATCAGAATATGCCACAAGTAAATCCCTCTTTCAAATGAAAATAATTTTGAAAGGTTGAAAAAAAATTTTTTTTTTTTTTTTTCAATACAAGAACTTCCCCAAGTTGGTCTATTTCTTCCACAAGAAATGAACTTCAAATGAGCATTTTCTAATACAACTTTGCATTTGCCTGAGCATCATTTACCAGATAAATGGGATAAGGACAGCTGTTGACTGCACATATTCTGCATATGCAGGACTGGTGCCCCACCTCTTGAAAGCAGATTTCTCTAATATGGGAATACCAGAGACTCTGATTATGAGGAAGGCAACGCAAACAGGAGACAAGACACTCAGGTATTCTTTGCCATTCATCACACTGGAAGCAGAAATGAAAAGACCTAACCAAAGAAGAATTTCACCAAAGTAATTGGGATGCCTGGAAATATTCCAAAGTCCAGATCGAATGAATCTGCCCTTTAAAAAAAAAAAAAAAAGAAAAGAAAACAGTTAAAAAAATATGGAAGAGAAATGGTAAGTCCTATTCAAATAAGTCGGGGAGAAGATAACATATATGGTCAAATAAGAATGGTGGTAGGAGGTAGACTAAATTTACAGTCGAATCACACTGAAATGACAGTTCTAGTTTGATCTCCAAAGTTAAAATGTCGAGCCTGGTCAGTAGTTAGAAGAGAGACTTTGAGAAGACCAGGTGAAAACTGGCCAATCATGGGGCTAGCAAATTTCAACCCATAAAAACTTGCTACAAAAACTACAGCAGTAACACCTAATGTTCTTGAGCACTAGCCTCACAATCCTCGGCAAGGTCCATGGGACTTCAGTGAGTGTGAAGAGTTCAAATAAATATTTGGGAGGGATAGTGATGTTTAGATATTTAAAAACATAACTGTCATGGTGTCTCAAAAAGATGTATACATACTTTTACAGTGTATAGCTCAAGCCAACTTGCTTTCTTTTCAGATTTATATGTTAGTATTACTAATGTCATCCATGCCTAGCTTTGAACAAAGAAAGTTCATCCTGAAATGTTACCAGAAGTACAAAAATTCAGTTGAAGTTCAAAGGTTGGTATCAAAGAGTTTCATTCAGATTCACCCATGCGGCTTACAATCTCACGAATTAGAGATAGTGTACAGTACCATCAGCTTCAGACTATATGCACAAGAACTGTTTTGGAAGACAACATATATCAACAAGCCTTGTGAAGCAAGAAAGGGTGACAGAAAAAAAGTTTTCACAGAAGTACAAGAAACCTATCAAAATGTTGATTGCTGCTTGTAATTCCATTGCATCGCGTTGTCAGCAACGACTATCATAACAGACATCAATTTGAAAACGTAACAAAATCTTAAGAGCCTGCATCTATGATAAACACTGTCTTCATATGCATTATTTAATTTGGATATAGTTGGTTCTAGTTGCTTGAATTATTTGAGAAAGCTTCAAATGTGTATACACTTTTTTCCTTTTTTTTTAATACTGATATATATTTTCACTGTCGAGTAGTATTTTTATGTCAAAATTGTGGTCAGTCTCATTACAGTAGGCAGCCAGTACATTTGATGTATTGTTTTCTAAAATGTCTCTTTTGTCTACTGATAAAGAGAAAACAATTCACCATGACAAAAATGTCTATAGAGTGCCTTGATTGCAAGGTTATCTACCATATATTTAAATTTCATATATTTTCACAACATATCATTTAAACATTTCTGATTAAACAATTTAGACATAGTGTGTTTACTTATTTTCAATAATAAAATCCTTTCTTAATTACATATAAGCTTTCTTGTTTCATGATTAAAGACAGTAAGAAAAGTACTGTGGTTATATTTATTCATTTTTATTTTTCCCTGACTAATTTCAATATTTTCCAATATCATCATCATTAGGGTTTCGATGGCTAAGACAAAACACTGATGATATTGACAATGTCATTGTCATATAATTGATGATGATATTGATAATGACATAATACAATTGATACATGTAATTATAATACAATTGACATAATATAACTGATGATATTGATGGCTAAGACAAAATCCTGATGATAGGGCAAAATAAAAATGAATAAATATAACCACAGTACCTTTCTTGCTGTCTTTAATTATGAAACAAGAAAACTTATGTGATTAAGGAAGGATTTTATTATTGAAAATAAGTAAACACACTGTCTAAATTGTTTAATCAGATATGTTTATATATACATATACATATATATATATATATGTGTGTGTGTGTGGGTGTGGTTTGTTCTAGCTGACACCTTTATAAATTTCTTGTGTCAATTGAAAGTAAATCTCTCACGTGCAGCTCAAATGGATGTAAGGACAGTCATTTTTAATTATTATATCTGGCTTCTTGATGGGGACATTGAATTTGGACAGAAAAGGTTGAACTTGATTGATTTAATTGCAACATAACAGGGACAAAAAAAAAAAGAAAACAATTCAACTTCTTACCTTATTTGATGTATCAGATCGAAATCGAAATTTCTGCCAATCTGCTACTGTTTCCAGCAAAAATCCAACAGTCCATAGTGTCCAACCAAAATAGTCTGTTACACTGAGAGGCTGATCTTCCTTCTTGAAATTTAAAATCAATGTAGGGAGCAGTGTGACAAATACCCAGACACCTGACAAAATCAAGATATTTGCAAGCATTGATAAAGTAAGGAAATCATCTAGCAACAAAAAAAAATATTGACTAATCAACAATTAATCTCTTGCATTTAAAGAAAAATGCAAGCCACAATATTTCTCAAAATATCAACATTGAAGATTTCAATACTGAATGAAAAAAGAAAAAAATATCAACTACACAAATTTAACCACAATTATTAAAGCATTTCAACAAAGAGGGTGCAGAAACGTTCTTAGCCTGACCAACGACTTAAACATTAGAATTTGTTTTGGGTTGCCTTTATCAGGTAAAGATCTTTTCAGTACTCCACCTTGTATAGAGATCCTCACCAAATCCAGGGCCTGTTGGCGGAACCCATCTCTGATTGAGCATGTTTTCAGAGGTGTAGCCATACTTACTATGCATGGCCAATTGCTGGTTGGTAAGGCTATTTAACCCATAGTTGGGGTGGATGTCTGTTGACTGCATCCACCCTTTAACATCTCTTGTTTTTTGTGCTGCTGGGGCTCCACTTACCCTCACCAGACGCGGGTCTGGTGGGGAAGCAGGTTTAGTCACTGACCACTCTGGTTTGTAATTCAGAGTTGTCTTGTTCCCACCCAGGGCTCTAGGACTGTTTGGCTATTTATCCAAAGGTGGGAAGGGAGAAGAGATGGATTTATACCTTTTCAAGAGTAGGAGATAAAGGGATAATCCTCTAGTCCACGTTTATGTAACTTTTCTTAGTTTTTGATCCTTTAGTTATACAAGGTCGGTTTAATGTGGATTTGTCAGCAATACCATTGAAAAATTCTCAAGCCTCCTTGGCATTTCCCTTTTTGGGGACACCTCGGGCACCAGGCAATAAACCCAGCCCCCTCTCAAAGGAAAGGGGTACTGCCTGGGGGGATTGTGCTCCAGAGAGGATTTCACTCTTCGATTGTTGGTCTTGGTGAGTAAACTGCTAAGCTAGAAAATGGGTAAAATTGTTCCAACTGATCAGAGTTATCTCCCTTCTGCTCAAATTGCTGAAATCTCCATGACTATGAGACTGAAGGCATGTGACATTGAGGGGGGGGGGACAAAAAAGTACAAACAATGGCTTAATTCAACTTTATTCAAATTTTGAGATGAAATTTGAATAAATTTGTTTGATTTGATGTGAAGAATTTTCAGTATACTTTGACTTATTTGATTTAGTTGTTTTATTGTTTCCATCTTTGTTATAGATGTTGCTGTCAACATGTCTATTATAAAAAAAAAAAAAAGTCTGTATGAACCCACTGTGATAACCAATTTTCAAAGCAACCTGACATTGGATATAAAGGCTTTCAAAACTCACCATTAATCTCCTTTGGGATGATAGTGTAGTGTGCAAAGTCTTGCTGTCATCTAGCATTTACAAGTTTACCTGTATCAGGTAGTAAAATAATATGCATCACAGGGATAAAGTAACAATATTAATGGATAACTGAAGATGGCCAGAAAATACTTGTCCAAAACATCATGTCTATTATAACAGCTATCACAAGATAACAACTTAAGTACAAAAATTTTGGCTAAAAAATATTTACAAATTTGAATATGCAACCTTGTATCCAAAGATCTTGCAGTTGCTCGTTTAAGTAAATTTCCTTCTTCCCAAGACAAGTAAATTCAAATGTGTTACTTTTGTTGTTCTTACAAACTTCAGTTATTCCATTCTGCAGTCTTTTTCAGGAATAAAATACACAAAGAAAAGCTGGGTTAATTGATTTGTTTGGCTTAGATTATAACACAAATAAATAAAGTGTTTAATATTTTTGTTGTAAATTCTCAAGACCAAATAAAATAATGTATAAATTCCCTTTCATCATATGTTTAGGTTTTATTCCAATTCTAATCATTGCTTTTTAAAACAAACATTGTTCAAGAGTGAAGGTAGTAAAAAAAAAAGCAAAGCTATGGTGGGAGAAAAACTGTCCTTTTGTCATTGTCTTATTGCACGTTTGTCCATGTTTGCCTGAGATTTTTTTAAAATGAGTAAAGATTTCTTACATGTACTTTTTTATAATATGACCCCTTTTTTGCTTTTAATTTTTGTTCAATAAAATAGGGTAGTCAATAATAATACTTTCATAGACATGGCAATGCCATCAGCTAAACTATATGTGTTACAGAATATAATAAGTAAATATGAGGATATTGACGTTGTGGGGGGGGAAAAAGTGATACCTTAATATGTTGACTACCTCACAACCCACCGGAGTGTGCATTTTTTTTTATATAGACCTGACAAGCCCTGCCTAGTTTGTTTCAATCAAATTGTTGTCAGAAGTGTTTTTAAAAACACCTCCCCTCTCTCCAACAGAAAATGTTTTCACAGAAGTTTCATGCATAATTCATCAACGACTAAAGCAAAATTAGTTTGTGAGAAAAAGACATTACTTCCCAAATATTGGAAATGAGAAGAGATAGAAAGGAAGTAAGAATTTATACAGGGAAGTGCTGCTCTCAGCCTTACCCATATATATATATATATATATATATATATATTTTTTTTTTTTTTTTTTAGAACACCTTCTGGTCAGGCAGAGAACTTTTCAGCATCCCACATATATATATATCAGTTCAGTTCAACTTATGATCTTTGAGAACATCAGGTGCCAAACTGAGTCATTTCTTCAGGCAATGCAAATTAAATTACTTTCTAGCACTCATCTCCATTTCAAATAATGCATGACAGGTTGTACTGGGTTACATGGCGCTAACAGGAAAGAATAATTTCTTATATAACCTATTCTTAGGAAAGATAGTGACACCGTTTTTATGCCTTATTGACAATTTTTCAAGTGTATGTCTGCAAGGCGTACACAACTCTTCAGTGGGTCATTTTCCAATTTCTTTTCTATGAGGATTATTAGGAATGGGATGCTATGATTGATTGCTTATGAGATTATGGTACACCAGAATCATTTTTTTTTTTTTTTTGTCATTTATTTCATTTTCCTTTTGGAATTTTTTTTGTTTTTCTTTTTACATACACAGAGCTGTAAACTAAAAGATTGAGTAAATAAAATTTAATTGGCAAAACATTATAAAATTTTTTAAAAAGTATACTTTATTTATTTAGGAAACAAAAAAAAACGCCTACAACCAGTAAAATAAACATATAAATTCTAATCTAATAGAAATCACATTCCTACTAAATAAATAAAAACATATTTCTAATGTCTGATTTCTCGAAAAGATATGAAAGAAAAAAAATATAAAAGCTCATATTGATACACCTCACACAGAAAAGCTGAATTGATTCGTATTTTGTGTCTTTTATTGAAACCTTGCTACACAACTAAGAAAAGCTAAACTGCTTTTTATTTTATATGTCTCTTATTGAAACAGTCAAGGCAAAGGTAAAGGAAAGGATTACCTTCACAAAATGGATTTACTTTGTTTCTTTTTTTAATCAGCTTCATTTGCGTCTGTCTATATTTCTGAGATGAGTTATTATGTACATTATTTACATTATTCGGACAATTGTCCTCATCTTTGTCGCCATATTTATTACAACGTTTCGGCCGGAGCATACAACAGCTGAAACGTTGTAATAAATATGGCAACAAAGATGAGGACAACAGTCCGAATAATGTAAATAAAGCTTCATTTGCACTTGTATTTTCCTCTTTTCACTATACCAGGATTTAAGATATAGTGTTGGAACAAGGGAAATAAGTCTTGGGAGCCAGCATGTTAAAATTACTATTATACCTATAATAATTGGAGTTCTGGGTACAATCAAAAAAGGTACACACAATGACATGAATAAGATCCCTAGAAGTCCTTGTTTAAGATATCAAATTTGTTTTAACCTCTTGTAATGTGGAACTGCTCATCAACTCAGCAGAATATTATCAACATAAATAAAATATAAGTATACTGTACATGTTAAATATCACTTAACATCAAGACTTGCAAACAGAATGCATATATTTACTGCCCCACTTTATCTTACAAGTTGGTTAATGACCCAAGGAGGAAGAGAAAAAAAAAAACATAACAATGATGGCAATACTTCAGCTAACAAATTTTGACAATTTAGTTTCAAGTGCTGAACTGTTATGCAATATCAATCCTCCATTATGACTGGCGAAGAGAAAACTGAAGCCAACAGAAATGTAGTGCTACAGAATGATGCTGGTAATTTCATAGACTGAACAACTACTAAGTCTTAATGGAAATGGAAGCAAAATGGCTACATATGCTCAGAATCAGAAACAGCTGAAATACAGGGTATCCAAAAAAAAAAAAAAAAAAAAAAAATTGAAATCATTTACAATATGAATATCTGATCTGAGTAACTACATGTCCCAGGCAAATGAAATTGAATAGGCTTCATGTTGAATAATAAAAGTTTTATTAAAATTTGAACAAGATATTCAAATGGATGTAGATTTTACAACCAATTTCCTAAAGCTTCACAAATGTTCAATATGTGCACCACTGGTGGCATGACACACATCAAGTCAGTAGTCAAGCTCTGGTCAAACATGCTGTAGCATGTCTTGCGTAACACTCACCTAAGTGATCCTCTGCTTATGTTCCTCTAGACTTGTAGGAAGAGGGGGGGATATACACCCGTCCTTTCACATAGCCCCATAAAAAAAAAAAAACCACAAGGTGTCAAAACTAGGTGAATGGGGTGGCCATTTCAACAATACATTGTCATTATCCCTGGCACATCTGATAACTAAATTGAAGTGTCAAAACATTAGAAATAGATGATAATGTTTAGCTCTTTTATTGAATAATGGGGGTTATGTTATGTGACAGAGTCTACAAGGTGCTGAAGATGTAGTGTGTGTCTTCCTTAGCTGGGAATATTTCAGGGCTTTCTATAACTGATCTGTATTTAATGGGTATAGCAGCAAGGAAACTCTTTGGAAATGTTTATTGTTTTAAGAAGCAATGATAAGAATTGTAATAAAACCTAAACATATGAATATTAGGGGGTACAGTGGAATAATGAATAACAAC